TGGGAGCTGGTGGCTCACGCCTGTAATCCAGCTATTCAGGAGGCTGAGACCTGAGGATCACAGTTCAAAGCCAGCCCGGGCAGGAAAGTCCGTGAGACTCTTATCTCCAATAAAACCACTAGAAAACCGGAAGTGGAACTGTGGCTCAAGTGGTAGAGTGCTCGCCTTGAGCTGAAGAGCTGAGGGACAGCGACCAAGCCCAGAGTTCAGGCCCCATGACCGGCCCTCCCCCCCCCCCCCCCCCCCAAAAAAAATACACATGAGCTCATTAGACCCTTGTTTATTTATTTATTTATATATTTTTTGGGTCCGGTCGTGGGGCCTGAACTTTGGGCCTGGGCACTGTCCCTCAGCTCTTCAGCTCAAGGCTAGTGCTCTACCACTTGAGCCACAGTGCTACTTCCGGTTTTTTTTTCTTTTTGCTTATGTGGTGCTGAGGAATTGAACCCAGGGCCTCATGCATGCAAGGCAAGTGCTCTACCACTGAGCCACCTTCCCAGCCCTCGTTTATTTTTTGTTTTTTATTTTTTGAGGGGTTCAGGTATCTTCAGTTTTCCTGGCTTGGATCCAAGGCAAGTCATTCCAAAACTCTGATTGTATATAGCTGTAGAAAAACTCCATTATCATGCTATGGAGTACTACTTACCTGAACTTACAAACTTCCATTATCAGTAGTATAGTATGGTTATATCTAGTTCCTTACGTGTTTTCACACTGTAATTCCAGCTGTGACCTCATGTCTCAGCTTCAAATGGGCAGAGACTGGAAGGGAGACAAGAATCATTAAATTACCCTTAGCACCATCACGAAGGTGGTTGCATTATGGGGGGGAGGGGGGCGAAGAAATGAGCAAAATGAAACTTATCCTCACTATTACTTCCCCCAAACCGGTGTTGTCAGTATTGTTAGCAGTCCTGCAGTGTGCACTGCCATTCTTAGGGTAGAGTTTAAGTGACGAAAACTGTAGTGTGCTGGCTGCTTTCAGAACAGGCAGCTTGCTAATGGCCAGCATTGTTGCCTCCAACCTTAGCTTGTGTCTTGGATTTGTAGGCTGGTATTTATGAAGCTGGTAGACTTGGGTCCTTTGTGGGACCATCCTTATGCATCAGAAACATGAAGTCTTGTTTTATTTGTGGCTCTGTTTTATGTTTGTTTTTAATGGTTTTGGGGTTTTAAAATCAGGCCCTGGCACCTGCCGGGGAGATGCTCTACCACCTGAGCCAGAAGCTCAGCTCAGTTTGTGACATTGTTCCAAATGCAAGCGCCAGCTTGCATTCAAGTCTCTGAGTCCTTCCTTCCTTCCTTCCTTCCTTCCTTCCTTCCTTCCTTCCTTCCTTCCTTCCTTCCTTCCTTTCTTTCTTTTTTTCTTTCTCTCTCTCTCCCTCCCTCCCTCCCTCCTTCCCTCTCTCCCTCCCTCCTTCCCTCTCTCTCTCTCCTCCTTCCTTCCTTTCTTCCTTCTTCTTTCTTTCTTTCTTTCTTCTCTTTCTTTCTTTCTTTCTTTCTTTCTTTCTTTCTTTCTTTCTTTCTTTCTTTCTTTCTTTCTTTCTTTCTTCTTTCTTTCTTTCTTTCTTTCTTTCTTTCTTTCTTTCTCCATGGAATCATAACACCAAAATATTAAAAAGGAGAGTTGAGATTCAGATGTGTTTCCTTATTTGTTAAAACTTGATTTAACCCTTGTGTTGTATGTGTGTTGATAAATTTTTTTTTTTATTTCCCTCCGCTCCCCTTCCTGTTGATAAAATTTTTGTGGAATGATCAGCCCAACTAAAACTTGGCAAAAATCACTTGCCATGTTACTGCTGCTGTTTGGATTAAGTGCTTACGGTAAAAGTGGATTGATTTCCACTTCTCTGCGGACCTTAATTTTTAAGAAGTGTGCTGAGTGGCTGCTGTCAACCTCAGTAAAACCACGCATTGTATTTTATTGCTTGTTTTCTTCAGAGTTGTGTGAACTTTTTTTTAACGTCCTGGGGATTTAACTCAGGGGCATAAGCTTGCTAGGCAAATGCTCTTCCACTTAAGCCAAACATTTGTCCTTTTGGCTTTCAGTTTTGGATCGGAGGTCATGCACTTTTACCCAGACAGGCCTCAGATCTCAATCCTCCTACTTTTCTACCTCCCAGTGACTAGAATTACAGGTGTGAACCACCCATCCATCTTGGTTGTTTGTTTGTTTGGTTTGGTTTTTTGTTGGTACTGGAATTTGAACTCAAGGCCTCATGAGTAAGCACTCTGCCACTTGAGCCACACTCTCAGCCCTTTTTGCTTTTTTCAGATAGGGTCTTATGTTTGACCTAGGGCTGGCCTCTGACCAGGATCCTCCTACTTAACTAGCTTGGATTATAGCTATGTGCTCCCATGCCTGGCCAAGTTGTGTGAACTTGGAGTCAAATAGGAACCCAATTCAGAACCTTAAGCTAATATATTTTTCTTCCTTATTAATGTGCTTTATCAAGCTTGGAAAATGTTTACTATTGTCTTCTCATGATACTTAACTGGCTTTGGAGGTATTGTTTCGCTGTCCTAAATTTGGAAGTGATGGAGATGCATTCTAAACTCTTCTTGGCATTGAGTCTGGTCTTTCCTGTTTATTTTAACCAGGCAGTGGCTTGCAGATCAGTTAATGTGGTTCTTTCTGTTTCTCAGTGGGTGAAGAAAGACATGCCCCTCTGCCTGGCCCTGACACGCCCCCTCCCCCCCCCCCCCCCCCAACCTCCTGACGAGCCTGACGTGCCTGAGTGCTGTCTCCTTGTTGGTTTCTGTGCGTGTGTTATTGGAACTGGACTTGTTACAGAAATACTTGACTGGAACTGGCTGGCTTTCCCATCTAATACATGCCCTTAGAGACATCATTAAAAGAGGTCCTTGTTTGAACTTAGGCTTCATAAGATCTACTTTATTGAACTAAAAAAATAAATAAATAAAAAATAACCCCAAACTTGCTAGCAGGAAATGAAAGAAACGAGAGTTTGATATTTTAATATGATTAAAAACCTTAAAACATGTCTACTCATTTTTCAGTAAACCTCAATGTTTACCATGTGAACTTGGGGAAAAGACTTTTTGTTTATAAAATATCCAGAAAATGGGCTGGGAAAATGGCTCAGTGGTAGATCGCTTGCCTTGCATGCCCGAGGCCCTGGGTTCGATTCCTCAGCACCACATAAGCAAAAAGAAAAAAAGCCAGAAGTGGCGCTGTGGCTCAAGTGGTAGAGCACTAGCCTTGAGCTGAAGAGCTGAGGGACAGCGCCCAGGCCCAGAGTTCAGGCCCCACAACTGGACAACAACAACAAAAAAAAAAATCCAGAAAATATTGCCTTTGCTATTTAGTAGTAATGCTAGCCAGTAAGCTGTTAAGGTACCTGGAAGTATCTCTGTTTCTGCAGTCTCTTTTTTTTTTTTTTTAAGCAGTGCTGGGGTTTGAACTCAGGGCCTGGGCATTATCCCTTAGCTTTTCCACTCACCACTTGGGCCACAGCTCCACAACTAGCTTTTTGCTTGTTCATTAATGAGCAGAATTCCACAGACCTTCTTGCCTGGGCTGACTTTAAACGGCAGTCCTCAGATCCAACCTCCTGAGTAGGAAGGATTACAGATGTGAGCCACCAGCCCCAACACCTGACTCTTGTTACTGCAATCTTGCATGTTGGGAGAAATGTTTCAGAAAGGCTTATTCTGTTGCTGAGGTGGAAATGGACACGTGTGTGTGTGTGTGTGTGTGTGTGTGTGTGTGTGTTGACTCTAACTGGTCCTGGGGCCTCAGTGAGCCTGTGTGTGTGTGTGTGTGTGTGTGTGTGTGTGTGTGTGTGTGTGTGTGTGTTGACTCTAACTGGTCCTGGGGCCTCAGTGAGCCTGTGTGTGTGTGTGTGTGTGTGTGTGTGTGTGTGTGTGTGTGTGTGTGTGTGTGTGTGTGTGTGTGTGTGTGTGTGTGGTGTGACTCTGACTGGTCCTGGGGCCTCTGTGAGCCAGCAGTAGACACCGCCTGTCTGTCTTCATGACATCTCTACCCATGTAGTAGGGTCCAAGCTGATGTCTTTCCAGCTCTGACCATTTCCCCTGTTCAGTGATGGAAGCCAGCATCTCTTGATTTTAAGTGTTGGACAAGCTGCTGTGTGTCTGGTGTTTTCCTTGGGATAGGTCTGAGTGGTTTGCATGTGCTTTTGTCAGTTCTGGGTTTTCTCAAGTGGGAAATTTGAAAACTGCTTCAAAATCAGTTTTGCCTGTTTTTGTTGTGTGTTGGAGGGGATTGTTTGTGTTTTTTAAATTTTGGACATAAGAAACCTTGTTAAGGGGCTCCCATATCCTCAGATTGTAGATCACCTTAGCTCCTGTGACCCTTCCATCCTAATGCTACTTCTGTTGTACCTTCTCTTGTCTAGATGGATCCTGCATATTTGCATTGCTTGAAAGTGTACCATTTTGCTTTCCACTTCTTTTAACTTGAGAAGCAATTTACCTCATTTCCATGGTCTATAATTACCATTTAAAATAATACCTTTACTATATCTAGAATAATGTAGCTGTACCTAATGATAGATTTTATAATAACAGTTTCATAATATCCCATCCCTTGTGTCTGAGGCCATTGGGCCGACATTCCTCTGACATTTGGATGGTTTCTAAGGGTGTCCAGACCATGGAACATTTGCCTGGTCCTCTCTCCTCCACTTTCTGTCTCAGTGTAAACTACACCCCATCGGCCTCACCTCACATCGTGAGGGTCAGGAGATAGTGTGTGGAAAAACACGAGACACTTGTCAGACAAAATTTTTTTCTTGTTAAAGAAAAGGCTCCTAGCCCTACGTGTGAGAGCCCTTTATTAAAGCAAAGAGGTCACGCATTTGACCTTGGCTCTGTGTGCTTGTTCAGTCAGGGCGTGTGGAAGGTGGCTTATGACTGGTCTGGGCGTGGGTGTGGAAGGGGATCCCCAGCTGCCATGCTCCTGCGGAAGTCGAGGTCATCAGAGCAAAGAATGTGATGTGTTCTGTTCTGTCTTGCAGATCAATGTTCGAGTTACCACCATGGATGCCGAGCTGGAGTTTGCCATCCAGCCAAATACCACCGGAAAGCAGCTTTTTGATCAGGTTGGTCTCTACGCCTTGAGAGAGGGAAACTTTTGTGCAGCCTCCAAATCATTGTTTGCTGAGTGACCTTGATTTGCCCACTTGATGCAATAGATGACAAAAAATCATCTTTGGAAAGGAGAAAATGGCATTCGTGATAGCATTACAGAACACTTTAAAGGACGGATATTTTTGTTAAATATTAAGATACTTGGTTTGTTTCCTAGCAGCAACTGTTCCAGACATAGTCATTTCTAATGGCTCAGTCTTCCTGAAACAAGCTGGGACAGAAAGCCATTCCTGACAGATTTTATAGCTTTGGGTCACAAGTTGGCAAACTTTTTTCTGTAAAAGGCCATACAGTAAAAATTTTTAGGCTTGTAGGCCATGCAGTGTAGGTTGTAACTGTATAATCTTGCCATTGTAGTATTGAAAGCATCCAGAAACTTGTGAATGAATGAACAGGGCCTAGTTCCAGTAACACTATAGAGGGACAATGACCTCCCTCCTCCCCCACCCTTCACCATCTAAAAAATAGAAACCATTCTTATCTTACAAATAGTCAGCAGACCAGATTGGACCAACTCATCATTCCTGGATGTCTCTGCTTTATTTAAAAACCATCTCTGTGGTTCAGCTTTGCTATCCCAAGCACCACAAGGAGGGCGTGCCATTGCCTAGCAGACAACCCTGGAAAGACTCCAGAGGCATTGGGCTCTCTAGTCTCTCCTGTTTATATTTTTATTTGTGTGTTTATGCTTGAATTCAGAGTCTGGACACTGTTCTAAAGCTTTTTGGCTCAAGGCTGGCACTGTACCACTTGAGTCACAGCTCCTCTCCTGGTAGTTTGGTGGTTAATTGAAGATAAGTCATCATACCTGGATCCTCAGATCTCAATCTCCTCTCAAGCAAACACTGGAAATGGTCAGCCAAGCCTGTAGCCCAGTGTGCTGCAGAATACTGGTTTCAAGTGAGACGGTTCACCAGCATGTTTTTTGTTTTGTCAGTCCTGGGGCTTGAACTCTGGGCCTGGGCACTGTCCCTTAGCTCTTCAGCTTTAGGCGAGCGCTCTGCCGTTTGAGCCACAGAGCCACTTCCAGTTTTCTGGTGGTTCATTGGAGATGAGTTTCATGAACTTTCCTGCCTGGGCTGGCTTTGAACCGTGATCCTCAGATCTCAGCCTCCTCAGTAGGTAGGATTACAAGCGTGAGCCACTGGCGCCCGCCACCAACATGTTTTAAATGAGGGAGTGATGCCCTAGCTCTCACTCCGTAGTTGGTTTTAGAAAACCCAGACTTCCCTCTGGCCTTTTTGTTCCTCTGCCCACCTTCATTGACTCGGAGACTTGAGACTGTGGCAAGGGAAGTAGCACAATGCTCTGTGCTAGCCCGCAGCTTGGTGACTGGCAGACCCCATCATGCAGGGCCTCACTGAGGTTAACAGCATGGCCCACGCCACTGGAGTGACCTGGTGATGGCAGGCAGGTGCCTCTGCGCGCCTGCCCCTCCTGCCTGGAATGGCAGAGGTTGAATGAGAACACCGGGCCACCACGAATTCTCCGATGCATTTCCATGCAACAACTCCAGGCTGTGAGCAGGACCTACTTTACTAGGATAAGTGTGTTCTGCTCAGGGGCAGGAGTCCAGGAGGCAGAGGAATTTCAAAGCACTTGAACCAGAGCCTGCTTCCCTGAGAATCCTGCTGGCTGCAGCTGTGCCTGCACTCAACCCCCACGCCCCATGTGAAGGGCTGGGAGGGCAACCAGGGGTTCAGAGTCTCCAGGTGCCTTCATCTGGTCTTAATCCAATCTCCATCTCCTCCAGAAAGGGAGCACCCGGTATGCAGGGCAGCTTTTGCAGCCAAGCCGTGGTGCCAGGGTGTGACCAGGGTGCCAGGGCGCACCCTGAGCTGGTCCTGCAGGATGGCCGTGGTCCGGGCAGCCAGACAGTCACTCCTCTTTAGAGGTTGTCCCTGGGTCTGCCTCACATAGCAAGACTAAAGACATGTACTGCTGAATCTGAGGAGCAGATATGTACTGCCTGGGCTGGCTTTGAACCGTGATCCTCAGATCTCAGCCTCCTCAGTAGGTAGGATTACAGGCGTGAGCCTGTACATATGAGGCTGAATTGAGGTCTTTCCTAAGTGACAGTCCCAGACAAGTTGCGTGGAGCCCGCTGGGTGTTGTATGGCGCAGTGGCCTGTGCAGTGGCCTGGCTTCCGGCATTGGCTCTGGACCCCAGGCTGGCAGGTCCCCCAGCCATCCTCCCAGACAGCACAACCGTTCCCTGTGAGTGAGCGGTAGGAGGAGCATTCTGAAAGCAGAGAAAGAAACCGCAGGACACGAGGAACAACTAGACCGGAGTGGTAGAGAGACGTGGTGGGCCAGGCTCTCCCAGGTTGTCTTTTCAGGGCCAAGTGGGAGAAGCTCTGGCAGCCATTCTCCCGCCTCAGCCTGCCCATCCTCTTAGTGCCTCAGCGCCAGGCCCTGCCCACCCCGCGGAAGCCCCCAGTGCCACCACTCAGGACTCCAGGCGGGAGGCCCCCTGAAAGGTATCTTGGCAGCCAGCTGCCACATAGGGGCTGGACGAAATTACCACCAGGCCTCCGGCTCAGCCATGGAAGAGATGGTAGCTGGTGCTCAAGGTCAGGTAGAGCCGATGTCCTCTGTCTTGTTCTTCTAGTCCTGTCACCCAGACCTCTGGAGATGGATCTGAGTGTTTCGCCCCCTCTCCCCCACTATGAATAGGCCTGAAAGCAATGATAAGGGGCGTTGTGTGGGAATGTGGGGTTTCCCCCAAAGGGAGGGTCTATGGGATGTTTTTGGAATGCATTGATGAAAGGATGGTTGTTTTAATTCCAGTGTGTCATTTTGAGGTTACCATGGTGATAGAAATAAGGCTCAGTAACAGATAGGGAGGATCATTTCATGGGAAGTAGATTTCTCTAGTGAAGATGTGTACTAGGATAGAGTGCCGGGGTTGGCTTCCCACTGAGAGCGTGGGGGTCCAGAATGGTTCTGGATGCTGAGATTGGTTCCGGCATAGAGCAGATGCAGGAGGGAACCCAATGGTCAGTAGGTGCTGAAGGGCAATGGAGAGGGTGGTCATCTGGGCGGGAGCTCTTACCGGCTCCTTCAGGACTAGGCTGAGGCTATGGGTGGACCTGAGGGGGAGGACCTGATTAGAGTGAGCACCTGTTCATTTATGCACGCGGGCCTTAATTGCACACTTTTTGACGGCCTCAGATGACAAGGGGCAGGTTGGCAGGAAAGAGGAAATAAGCAGGATCGGGTAGACCTGGTCTTGGCTCTCTCCATGCTCGGCTGCCATAAACACAAACAACCCGGGAGCAGAACACTGTGCACGGCTGAATTTCCTTTCTTCCCGTGAGGAAGAATCTTAGGTGTAGTCCATTCTCCCTGTTGGGGTGGAGGAGTGGAAGGAGAGGTTGAACAAATCGACCGTAGGCACTTAATAAAAAGGTGCTCAAGAGCATTCGTTAGAATCTGCCCCTGTGGACGGCGAAACGGTCTAGGCCAGGTGTTTATTGAAGATTGCAGGGTTTACCTTAAGCAAATACCTCTCGTGTGGTTTCTTGTGTTCAGCCCTCTTGCTCCTTCAACATGGTATTTGAAGGATAGTCATGGTTAAACATTTTCTAGAGGATTTACATTATATGCCTTGGGATTTAGAATGGTGTGTCCAAGCTGGAGGACTCACTTCATGTTCTGCATATCCAACTGTTGCTGTTTATTTCCAAGACATTCATGAGAACAGCCCGCAACAGGTGTTCTAGGGAATGCACCACAGGACACAACCCTGTGTGGTGGTTGTGAAGTCCTTGCTGTTGGGTAGACCGGGGATCCTACCACAGCTCTCCCAGAATTTCAGTTCCAGAGGCCTACATGGCTCTGTTGTATCTGTAGCCAAGCAGCCAATCCCTGCTTCCTGCCCTCCTTCCAGGAACCACTACTTCCCTGCTCCTAAGTCCCATTCCTGATTGCCAGTGGTCTTTGAGGCTCTGGTGACAGCAGAGAGCTCAGGCATTGCACCGATCACTTCTGGCCACTTCCCACATGGGCATTTCTGATGAATGACACACACCTGTGCACACGGATTGCAGCTGGAACGGGTCCCACAGTTCCGTGCTTTGCATTCAGACTTTGGAGGAGTAGGAGAAAGAGTTAACAAGATTTAAAGATAGTGATGAATGCCTTTGCATGGATGACAACTTTGTGTGGCTCAAAGGCCACAGGAGACAGGGCAGGACAGGCATAGCTAGCTGCTACAGAGCTTTTCTGGGGACAGCATGGCTGCCGGTGGCTGTCCCGTTTCTCATGCCAGGGCCTCTGTCTCCCACAGGTGGTTAAGACCATTGGTCTCCGGGAAGTGTGGTACTTTGGCCTCCAGTATACAGACAATAAAGGATTTCCTACCTGGTTGAAACTTGATAAAAAGGTAAGGCGGGGTTAACTATTTACAGGCTATTAATTGGAGTTTCTCTGCCCAGAGCACTTTTAACTCTTTTGTCTTTTTGGTTCCTTTTTATTTGTGTAAAAGTTTTTACAGGCCCGAGGGCTGCAGGTTTCCAGTAAGCCAGGACAAGGGCTGGAAATTGGATCCTGGCCTTCCTCCCTGCTCCCCCCTTGTTGGGTGATGGTTAACAGCCTCCCTTTTAGTTGACCTTCGTTTTGTGGGGTTTTTTCCAGTGAGATTAATCTTAGAAACCATGAATCACCCTCTGTGTTGTAAGAACCTGTTATTGCTTTGTTTGAATATGTGATAGATTATCTTCCAATTCCAAAGATTGAGTAATTCCACTAACAATTATAAAGAGATGCCATCAGCTGAACATATGCTCTTCCTATTCCTTTGAAAACTGCTTTTTCTCCACCTGGCCCCACCCTGTCCCACCTTTCTGCAATGTCTTGAGGATCTGGAGGAAGTGTGGCTCAGTCCCAGAGCCTGGGGCCAGGCTGACAAGTGGGCAGTTCCAGGATTGCTAGACGTAGGAGAGGAGCACCTGCAGATCTGAGTTCTGTGGGACTGACAGGATCGTCTGTGGACAAGGGCTGGGAAGGATAGCGTGGCCCGTGGTATAGCTTTCCCATGGAGTGTGGTTGCACAGTAGTGCTTCTGACTGACCTTTTTTTAAAAAAAAAAATCCTGAGTGCTAAAATGATGAACTTGAGAACAAACACTATGAACTTCAGAACGGACACCTGTCTTCTGAAATCCGTGCTGAGGACCCCTCGTGAGTCACTCACCAGCAGTCTGTAATGACAGCTGGCTTGTGTCACACAGGTATCTGCTCAGGAGGTCAGGAAAGAGAACCCTGTCCAGTTCAAGTTCAGGGCCAAGTTCTACCCCGAGGACGTGTCTGAGGAACTCATCCAGGACATCACCCAGAAGCTGTTCTTCCTGCAAGTGAAGGAGGGGATCCTCAGCGATGAGATCTACTGCCCCCCAGAGACAGCCGTGCTCCTGGGCTCCTACGCTGTGCAGGCCAAGTTTGGCGACTATAACAAAGAAATGCACAAGTCTGGATATCTCAGCTCGGAGAGGCTGATCCCTCAGAGGTGAGCAGAGGTGACCTGGCCCAAGTGAGCACGGGCATCATCCCTTGTGGGAGAGGGCTGTGGAAGGGAGAGCCTGACAGGAAGTGGGGGACACTCAAGGTCAGGTGCTCCTTTAGGCTGGGGGTTCTGTTCCTGCCCTGAGGGCTCTGGACCTCAGAAGTATTGAGCCCCAGCCTCCTCCACGCACTGCTATTCCTCAGAGGACCAGTGCATTTCTCTGTGGGACCAGACAGGTGACTCAGTCACTGGCTTCTCATGACCTCCATGCCTGGCTCTGTGTCTCCCTCCTTCAATCCAGAGTCATGGACCAGCACAAGCTCACCAGGGACCAGTGGGAAGACCGGATCCAGGTGTGGCACTCGGAACACCGTGGCATGCTCAAGTGAGTGATGGCCAGAAAAGGCCTGCGTTCTTCTCCGAGCACCCCACGTAGTGCTAGCCTGAGGCCTGAGATGAGGTACCCCCAGCCTAGCCCCAAGTGGCGGGGCGGTGGCTCCTTTGTGGGTGGGGAAGGATTTGGTTTGGCTAGAAGCCACTGAACCTTCAGGTCCAAAGAGCTCCATCCCTTTGCTTAAGAGGAGAGAACGTCTTGGCGATTGCTTGTCTGTGAAGGCGTGGTCAAAGTTTCACTGTCTGGGGACTGGAGCGTTGCTCACCATCACGCTGTGCTTCATCTTCCTTCCCTAGAGATAATGCTATGCTGGAGTACTTGAAGATTGCTCAGGACCTGGAAATGTATGGAATCAACTACTTTGAGATCAAAAACAAGAAAGGGACAGACCTCTGGCTTGGTGTTGATGCCCTGGGACTAAATATTTACGAGAAAGACGATAAGTGAGTTGAAGTTTCTCTTTCTCTTTAGCTGGTGGAGCAGCAGACCTGGAAATGGACAAAAATGGCAGTGATTGCTGGGGGTGGGGACGATTAAGATATATATATATATATTAATTTTTTATTTATTTGTTGTTGGTCGTGGGGCTTGAACTCTGGGCCTGGGCACTGTCACTGAGCTTTTTTGTTCAAGAATAGCACTCTACCACTTTGAGCCACAGTGCCACTTCTGGGTTTCTGGTGGGGTTAATTGGGCTTAATTTCCTGCCCAGATTGGCTTTAAAACATGATCTTCAGCTCTCAGCCTCCTGAGTAGCTAGGATTACAGGCGTGAGCTATACCCCGCTATATATTTTATTAAATACTTTATTGTTTTTATAAAGGTGATGTACAGAAGGGTTAGCATTTCATAAGTCAGGTAATGAGTATATTTCTTCTTGTACAAGGTCAACGCTTCCTTCTTACTCTCCCAGTTACAGGTGTACGGATTGTTAAGGCTCTTGGACTGTGCTGTAGCCATCTTGGTGGGTGGCCCAGAGGTGAACTCTGTCAGCTACTGATACCCTAGTCTGCTTAGGCACAGGAAACCTGGAGGGAGGGCTGGTGGGACAGACAGCAACCTTGGGACCCTTGGAGAAGTGGGGAGAGTCACATCTGGAGAAGACTCCCTCCTTCCCACTGAGGCCCCCACCCCGGCTGCCATAGGCCTCAGCCTATACCTGGCTCCTTCCCAAGCAGACCCCGGACTCCTGGCTAGTGCTAACCATCCAGCCAAGACTATTTCTAGATGATACAGCCCGCTTGTATGAACAATTAGCTAAATCTCCTGAGCTTACACAAGGTATCTAATTGCTTCGCGGGAATTGCATTATTTGTCAGTCATGGTCAGTTGAGTGCAGAGCAGTTTGTAGAGGAGCCTCTGGCGCAGGGAGCTGCCGATGCTGTGGTCACTGAGCTGCTGCCTGCCTGTGCCTTCTGTCTACCAGGAAACCCATCTGCCTCCGTGAGGACAAGTTTCCTCAGAGGAAAAGCCTGGATTTTCTGTGCTCCCAGATGGTGTCCCTGACTTAAGCAGTAGACACCAGTGTGGACATGCTGGCCTGTAATCCCAGCATTCGGGAGCCAGAGGCAGGTGAATAGCAAGTCCTAGGCCAACATGGTCCACGGGGCAAGACCTAGCTCAAAACAAACCAAGAAAAGAGGGCAGTAGACACCACCTCCCAGGCAGGACAAGGAGCCTTGGGCCCCTGCTGTGAGTGTCTCTGAGCTTTACCCGCCCTGCAGCCCAGCCATGGCTCAGGGACAGGCAGTAACCAGCAAGGATCTCAATGCCCAGCCCTGCGGACTGTACATGGTGCCCAGCTGCCTAGACTCCTGGGATGTACCTGAGCCTGTGACAGGCAGTGTGTGTGTGTGTGTGTGTGTGTGTGTGTGTGAGTGAGTGTGGGTACTGGGGCTTGACTTTGTCATTCACATCTGGTGCTCTTCCTTGAGCCACAGCTCCACTTCTAGCTTTTTGGTGATGAATGGGAAATAAGAGTCTCATAGACATTTCTGCCCACACTGGCTTCAAACCGTGATCCCTACATCTCAGCCTTCCCAGTGGCCAGGAGTAGCTAGGATTACAGGCATGAGTCACCAACACCTGGCTGTGGCTCTCATCCGGATCCCCACCCTGGCCTGGTGCTGTCTCTTTAAGTGACACTCCTGTCTCCTCACTCTGTTCCAGATGTCTCTTGCCTCAGCTCCCCATGCCTCACATTCATCATAAAACCTCCTCTGCATTTGGGGGCGGGGGGTGGGGGGTGCTGCGGCTGCAGCTGCCTCTGACGCAGGATATGCACATAAAGAATCTGCTGCGCCACAGCAGTATGCCACGGTGGACAGAATCACGCAGCACCAAGTGACGTGCTTGTCAGGGTGTCGCAGCAGTGTGGCAGAGGTAGGTGACCCGCTGAGGGCTTGCAGCCTGCGCCTTCTGCCTTCAGTGTGCCAGAATTTGGTAGAGAACCCAAACAGTCTTACGTAAAGGAACCAGCCTCCAATCCTTCCTGAAGACCCCTGCTTTGGAGGAAGGGGTGGGCAGCTGCAGGTATGGGGTGTCTGAGAGCACCCTGTGTCCTCCTGAGAACTGTGTGGGAAACCTCCTCAGTCTTTGAACTCCTGAATGGCTGGATTTTGTAACTGAGCCACAGCCTCGACCGTCCAAACAGGTTTTTCCAGCTGCAAGGAACAGCCCTAAGGCAGGCCTTGCTGATGTCAGCCTGCAACTGCTCCAACCCACGGAACTGCGCAGCATTTCACCAAGTAAAATCGGAGCTCGGAGCCCCTTGCTCCCACCACCCCAACCCAGCACGCCCCTGCCAGCTCCCACCTCCCCAGTCTTCACCCCACAGACAGCGCAGGGCCCTGGATAGCTCCACATCTGGGCTCCCTCCTTCCATTCCCAGTCACACCCTCTCTTCAAAGGAAAAGCCCTCAGGTGGACATTTAATCAGCTGTCAGCCCCCCCTCCCTCTGCAGAGATATGGACCATGTGATTTGAGGCATAAGCAGGAGATTGTTCTGGAGGCCTGTGGACCCCAGCGCTCTCTAAATGGTCTGGGTGTTGAGTTGCTCTTTTTACCAGTAGAACTAATGGTGAGAATTAGATAGTCTTAATACATTGTTCATGGAGGAAATCTGATCCATCGAGTGTGTAAATTGAGCTATAGGAGACGCCATGCTCCACAAATAAACCACCACATCTTGATCGTGTCCTCTTTGGAATTCACCAGGCTGTGACTGGAAGATTCTCCTGGGCTCTCCTTTCATGAAGTATATTCCCATTCTGCCAGAGTACACAGGACTCTAAGCATTTGACTCCACCCCCTCCCCCATCCTCTTCCTCCTCCACTCTTTCCTCTTCCCTCCTCCTGCCCTCCTCCCCCCTCCTCCTGGAGGTAGACAGGTGAGCATGCACAGGCAAAGAGAGGAAGTCCAGTGCAGCTGTACTGCAATTCTACCTGATACTCTCTGCCCAGACAGAAACTAAAAAAATGGCCGTTCCGGAAGCCAGCCAGGGTTATGAGCTCTACCCCTTTAAGAGAGGTAATGCTGGGGAGCTTGGGGCCAATGAGGACTAAACCTATTGCTGGTAGACCGGGAGGTACTCAGACCAGTACTCAGGAAAGTACTCAACACAGCACTTGCTGAATCACATCTCTTAACTCCATATCACTGTAGCTCTCCAGCTTCTTATTAGCACACTGCAGAGTAAATTGTGGCACCGGCATGCTTTCCCTGAAAGGAGAGCACAGAGCTTACTTCTGCTCAGTAAATGTTGAGGTAAAATTTAAATACGATGAAATATGATTGTTAAAGCTACAAGGATTCACACTTTTTTGCGGGGAGGGTGGCCTAGCAAGGACACTTCAGGAATAAGTCCTAGGTAGACCATGTGCATCCGGGTGGTGTATACAGTCTCTAAAAAGAGGAAGGGGGCCCTTGTACTTTCATTTTCCACCTATAGTTAAAAATTAGTAGGAGTTTAGCTACTCAGGAGGCTGAGATCTGAGGATTGCAGTTCAAAGCCAGCCCAGGCAGAAAAGTATCCATAAGACTTTTATTTCCAATTAACCACTCAAAAACCAGAAGTGGCACTGTGGCTCAAGTGGTAGAGCACTAGTGTTGAACACAAAGAGGCTCAAAGACAGTGCCCAGGTTCTGTGTTCAAGCCCCACAACCAACAACAAAAAAAAAGGAAAAAATTAATTAGTGGAAGTTCTCTAATCAGAAGTGAGTTGTAGCTTTCATGTTTAGCTCTCATTTTTTGATTCTGCAATTATGCCTATGAGTGGCTATGGATTTTTATGAGGTTTTAAAGACAGCTGACTCCCGCCTCTGATCCTGGCTACTGTGCACAAATTCAGATCCAGAGGACCACAATTCAAAGTTAACTTGGGCAAAAACGTCCTCCAGACGTAATCTGCAAAAATCTAGGCTGGAGGTATGGTTCACGTAGTAGAACACAAGCCAAGCAAGTGCAAGGCCCTGAGTTCAAACCCTGGTAATGGTGGGAGAAGGGTTGGGGTGGGGGGAGTCACACTTCCCAGACATACCAGGAAATGGGCTAGAAACTGATGTACCCAACCCTTGAAAGAAAGATGCCTGTTAATCTTAGAAGTCCACGTTCAGGCCAGAAACTGTTTGGAGAGGTCTTCTAATGCCAAGAACCAGAGTCCAGAGCCTGACCTCCTGAAGCTTTGGGAGTTGCAGCTGGTGTGGCCATGTTTGTGGCTGTGGATTGAGCAGTGATCACTTGGTCCATAGCATCGCCCTGGGAGGCCGGAGGCCAGTGTGCCAAGCAGCAGCGGGCTCCAGGGTTCCTCACACAGCCTTTCTGTGTGAGGGAGACGTGAGCCGCAGAGCCCTGCGTGATCAGGCCACAGCCTGTGTTCCTTCCAGGGGCCCTGGGACCTGCCAGCAAAGCCTCTAAAAAGTCCGTATTCCATCCATGAAGAGAAAATAACTGAACCAACGCCCTGTGTGTTGGATCGCCAGGAAACGTGTCAGTCAGCTGTGTCTTCCAGGCATTTAGTGCGCATGTCAGGACAGAGCTGCAGAAGAGGCTTTGACAGGCCAGCTGGTCTGGCCAGTGTCCCGCGTGCCTCCTGCAGGCAGATGGTGGCTGCTGGACCCTCTGCAGCCACCGGGCAGGCTGAGGCCTTTTGCGGCCTGGTGGTTACCATAGCCAGACCGTCCCTACCCATCAAGCTTCCTTTCAACCTGCTAGTCCGCAACAGGTCCCTGCCCCCTCCTGCTGTGTCCTGTGGGAGGTGACACGTGGCTCTGCTTGGATGGTGGTGTGGGGGTCTCTCCTTGCTTCCAGAGCACTCTTGTCCCCATTGATGGGGGTGGAGTGGGGAGAATCTGGTTCGCAAGAGGTCAGCAGGGCCACAGGGTGACCACCGAGGTATCCAAACACTTTATGCCTGAAGCCATAAAGTGGAGACTTAGCACCGTCCCAGCCCTGAGGCGGTGGGGACTATTTAACAATAGGTTAGCATTCATTCTTTATACAAATTGAGTTCATAGAAACTTGCAAATCTCAGTCAGAACAACGGAGGACATATATTTATATGAATCTAACCATCCCAAACTCCCCTTCTTTTTTTACCCTCAGGTTGACCCCAAAGATCGGCTTTCCCTGGAGTGAAATCAGGAACATCTCCTTCAATGACAAAAAGTTCGTCATTAAGCCCATTGACAAGAAGGCACCTGTAAGTTCACGTGGATTCCCCACGGCGGTTCCCTAGGCCGGGGCTTCCTGTCCATACAGCTAAATCAGTTAATGGAAGAACAAATAGTCAGACTCCTCTGTGCTGAGCGGCACCCGCAGTCGGTCACTGAGGGCCAGCTCGCTGGCCGCTGCCTCAGGAGGTCTTTGTGGAGACCAGGTGTCTACAGAAAGCTAGGTGTGGTAACCGGAGATTGCATATGGGGAAAAGCGCATCCTAAGTCACTGGCCTTGGCCAATGGCAAGCATTGCTGCCCCCATGGCCCGCCTGGCTTAGAGAATGTCTGTGTGGAGAGCCAGCCGGTGCCAGCCTCGCTCCACTCCCCTCGCGGAGAGCAGTGAGGCCTGCCAGTCTGGGAAAGCAGAATTTGACTTTTTTGGGGGGGCGGGGGAAGGGGTAGTGCTGATACTGGAGCTTGAAATCAGAGTCTGGCCGCTCTCCCTTAGCGTTTCCAATCAAAGCTAGCACTTCACTGCTTGAGCCATGCCTCCACTTCCAGCTTTTTACTGGCTAACTGGAAATGAGTCTCACAGACTTTCTTGCCCAGGCTGGCTTTGAACTGAGATCCCCAGATCTCAGCCTCCTGAGAGTACAGGTGTAAGTCATGGGTGCTTGGCTCCAAATTTGACTTTGAATTTAACCCTAGTTAAGAAAAGTCCCACCCGGCGCTGGTGGCTCACACCTGTAATCCTAGCTACTCAGGAGGCTGAGATCTGAGGATCACGATTTAAAGCCAGCCCAGGCAGGAAAGTCCGAGAGACTCTTATCTCCAATAAACCACCAGAAAACCAGAAGTGGAGCTGTGGCTCAAGTGGTAGAGCGCTTGCCTTTAGCTGAAGAGCTGAGGGACAGCACCCAGGCCCAGAGTTCAAGCCCCACAACCAACCAAAAAGGAAAGTCCCACACATATCCTGAGCATGGCTGGCCCCCACAGCTCCCTCTGGGCCCCCAGCCCTACTTTCTCTCTGGTTCACTGTGCCCCTGACACGGGCATTCCCTGGTCTGTCCACATGGGAAGAGGAGCCTCATACACAGGAGACTGGCAGCTAGAAAAGGACATAAAGATTGTTGCAAGCTGCAAAGACCAGTGCATTATGGGAATTTATTTCACTCTTATTTTGTCAGCATGTGAACTTTTAGCTGATATTTGGGATGTATACATGACTGTAACGTGGTCAGAAGCAAAATTGGACCTTAAAGCCTGCCCTGAATGTTACCAGAATTCCAGACATAGTGTCCCATTGCCTCCTGGCTCCCCTCCTTGGGCTAAGAGAGGCAGACAGGGCTGTGCCCACACCTGGGCGGGTGAGGCCCCTTGGGACAGGGCCCCACTTGGCATGGTCGCCCCACTTGGAATGCCACATGGTATTGCTGTTTAATGAACCCCTCCTCACGGAGGGGTCCTCCTGGCATCATTTTAAATCAGCAGGTCTTGCTTTTACTGTTCTTTTATGAAAGCGTTTTCTTCTTTATTGAAATGTGTCCTGCTGTTCGTAAACTCCAGACGATGCTCCATGTGTTGAGGCACCGTTCTTTAAAATTAACCTCATATTTAGCACAGACCCTGCAGCTCCATGGAAACGGTTCACATGCTGCAGCCCGGCCAGCTGAGGGTCCTGGCATGCCAGGTTCCACGGGCAGTGGGGTTGGCATGGTTAGAAGGCACGAACTCTGAAGTAGGTGGGTGTGCTCTCCAGTGTGATGCTACTAACTTTAGTTTCTGGAAATTTAGCTGATAGGGAATATAAATCTTTCTGGGCTGGAGAGAGAGAAAGAGAGAGAGAGAGAGAGAGTGAGTGTGTGTGTGTGTGTGTGTGTGTGTGTCCTGGTGTGTAAAGCTTTAGCTTCTGACCTGCTAAGAATACTTAATTACAAATTCCAGCAGGCGATGACAGTTGCTGTGTCCTGCAGCAGGCCTGTGGGAGACGTAGAAGAGCACGGGCCACTGCCAGCTGCCTCCTGGCGCCTGACAGTGAGGATGCACACAGGGCGCAGACAGGCACGAGTGTACATTCCAGTGTAGGCACCGAATGAAAGCCAGGCAGATAGGAAGCTTCCTGGTGGTAACTCTCACCAGGCTGGTAGGATAAACAGCAAAGCAAGCTAAGCGGTTGAGGAGATGGGAAGAAGTGGGTGATGGGTTCGCGCCGGTCAGTCAGGAGCCCTCACATGACACAGCATCTGTGTGGGGGCAGGAAGGCAACTGGCACTCTCCACACCACACCAGGGCTGCCAGTGGCTCTGCCTGCCCCCCGCTTTCCCTGGAAGCAGGAAACTGTGTGTGTGTGCGTGCATGCGTGTGTGCGTGTGCGCACACATGTCTGCTGGTACTGGACCTTGAACTCAAGATCTGGGTGCTGTCCCTTAGCTGTTTCACTCTGGGCTGGTGCTCTAACACTTGGGCCACACCTCCACCACACCTTCTGGCTTCTATTTTGGTAGTTAAGAGATAAGAGTCTTAGAGACTTCCCTGCTCAGGCTGGTTTTGAACCACGATCCTCAAGTCTCAGCCTCCTGAATAACTAGGATTACAGGTGTGAGCCACCAGCTCCTGGCAAGCTTAAACTTTCATATAAAAGATAAAAAGGAGAACCTGGTGGTGGAGGGCACAAGGGAGGTGTGGGAGATACTTTATCTGGTGCAGCCTTATGGAAAGCACCAGGGTCCGGGTGTCTTCTGCAGAAAACTCACAGAATCTGCCCTAGTGGAGCTGGGATGCTCCTTTGAAAGTCAGCTTCTCACAGTCACACAGCAGTTTGGGGCCTTTTTTTTTTTTTTTGGTCAATCATGGGTCTTGAACTCTGGGCCTGGGCGCTGTCCCTCAGCTCTTCAGCTCAAGGCGAGCACTCTACCACTTGAGCCACAGCACCGCTTCCATTTTTCTAGTGATTTATTAAAGACTCACAGCCCGGGCTGGCTTTAAACCACAATCCTCAGATCTCAGCCTCCTGAGTAGCTAGGATTACAAGCGCGAGCCACCAGCGCCCAGCTGGGGCCGTTTGTTCACCTCCAGTCCCACGGCCGTCACAGCCTGCCCGGGTGACCCGTGAAGGCTGAGGCAGCCACCCTGGCCTTCCGAACATTCTGAAGCAGTGGCCCGCTTAATCACTTGTGGAGTGTTGGAAGGTTTTGGCCAGCCTTCCGCCCAGCTACATCCTTCAGAGCAGCCTTCTCCAGGCCCATCTCGGGGATCCCTGCCTAGACAGTGGAGACAGGCCCTGTGGGGAGCTTCTGGAAGTCATGCTAAGACTTCTATCAGATGGTAAGGGTCATGGCTTACTCTCTCTGGACCTTCCCTGGTTTACATGTTTAAGACACAGGTTGCCCACCAGTGTGGAAATGCTGCCTGCGCCCGGTCTCTTCATATTGTGGCTTTGCATAGTTTGGGGATTTGGACTAAGACATTTTTGTGAAGTGTTTTCTTTTTCTTTCATTTTGTGCCTTCCCTGGGGCTTGAACTCAGGGCCTGAGCACTGTCCCTGAGCTCTTGTGCTCAAGCAGCACTCTACCACTTGAGCCAGAGCTCCGCTTTTGGCTTTGTGCTGGCTGATTGGAGATAGGAGTCTCAAAGATCCTCCTGAGCAGGCTGGCTTTGGACTGCAGTGGTCAGATCTCCGCCTCCTCAGTGGCTGCGATTCCAGGCGCGAGCCACCAGCTCCCAGCCTCTTTGTGAGTTTTGATTTTTTTTTTTTTTTTGGGGTCCGGTCGTGGGGCCTGAACTCTGGGCCCTGGGCGCTGTCCCTCAGCTCTTCAGCTCAAGGCTAGCGCTCTACCACTTGAGCCACAGCGCCACTTCCAGCTTTTTTTTTTCTTTTTGCTTATGTGGTGCTGAGGAATCGAACCCAGGGCCTCATGCAAGCAAGGCAAGCGCTCTACCACTGAGCCAACTTCCCAGCCCGTGAGTTTTGATTTTTAACGTGAAGTTAGAACGTGGCCCCTTTCAAAGGCAGAGGAAGCCATGTCTCCACTGTCCCCTTCCCCTGCTCAGCAGCCGTTCCCAGTTCTCTGTGCTGCTTTCCGGTAGTGTATAGGGATGTGTCTCCAGGCAGAGGTAGGAAGATGCTCAGGTTAGCCTGCACTTCCAACCCTTGGCCCTTTCTGATTGATTTTTTGTTCTACTCAACATTTCTTTGCAAATCCCTGTGCGTCAGAATGGAACCTCATTGGGCCGTGTGCCTCTGAAGCCGTAATACAAGCTTATTTTCTCTTGTGTAATAAGAGATAGGTGGGTAATAAAAATTCCTTTTTCTCCCAGCTCTGCAGACTCCTCCCTGGGAAACCTGATGACTTAATAACCAGTGTGTGAATCCAGAGGGGAGCCCCACCCAGGAAGTTCAGGGGTTCCAGCCTTGGCCTCGGCCTCCCACCCCGGGCTTCTGGAACTGATGAAAGACTGGGGAGCTTCACAGGCTCCCCGGGGCGTGTGGCCTGACTGGTTGAGCGGGCTGTGCTCTGGAGGCCTCTGACTGACACGGCCGTGGGGTGGGAGGCTGCGGCTTTGCTCGGTCCCCTTTCCCTGGCGCACACGGTCAGGATCTGCACACACTGGGGCGCCGCCACGGTCAGGAGGAAGCTCATGCGTCAGGGGCATTTCCACATGCCAGTCGTCCTTCTGTCCCTCAAGTGAACTGTGGCAAGGACGAGGCGCTGGGAGCCCCATGGTCTATAACCCTTGCCCTAAATGCAGGCCACAGGGTCCCTGAGAACTTTCCTCTCAGGAGGAAAGCCTCTTCTGGTATCAGGTCCATGAGGGGCCACTTGGCATGCCTTGTTGTCTGGGCCGCCATTCAGGTCCTAGGTGTCACCGCTGTGTGGTGACTGACACAGAGGCTGGGCCATGGAGTGAGAGGCTTCAGAGCCTGGAGCTCGGGCACAGCAGCGGTCATCGCTGCCGCCCAGCACCCACAAATAGTGGGCATTGGTTTGGGCTTAGAAAGGTAAAGCTTTACCTGCTCTCATGGAACGAGACAACAGAAGACGGTGCTGTAGTGACATGTGTGCTCACAGTAGCCGCCACCTTGGCCTGGGAGAGCAGGCAGGGGCAGGGCTGCAGTCCTTGCACAAGGATACTCGCAGGAGAAGGGCGCTGGCAGGTAGGAGAGGGTCCGCTCAGACGCACACGTGGTCAGCACCTGGGTGCTGCAAGGCCAAGACATGAGCTGGGCTCAGGAATCCGAAGCATTCAGGGTCAAGGTGGTGATCTGGCCCTGTGCTCATCGCCATACAGGAGGGGAAGGTTCTAGCTGAGGAGAAGCTAAGTTAGTCCATGCCAGAATGGGTGTGGAGGGCAGAGACCCTGGCTGGAGAGGACAAACACGCCCTGGGTTTCCCAAGGCGGATTGATGGCTCTCCTCAGAAGAGCCAGTCTGTGATTGGGTGTGTGTAACACGAGGAGCTTACACCACCCGCCAGACTGGCACACCCTGCCACTCACAGGCCACACGCAGGCATGTGCATGCTGGCCCCTGCGCCCTGCACACCAGACACACTCCCTCTGCATCTCCCAGCACTCCGGCTCACAAGAAGGGGTGTTTCCCGCCCCTGGCCCCTGCCATGTGTCCTTTTAGAAAGGTCTAGTAGAACCTGGGCATGTATAGCCTGGGGAAGGAGGCTGGGTCTGAGGCGTCGAGTTCTCTTTGGCAGGACTTCGTGTTCTATGCGCCCCGCCTGAGGATCAACAAGCGAATCCTGCAGCTGTGCATGGGGAACCACGAGCTGTACATGCGCCGCCGGAAGCCGGACACCATCGAGGTGCAGCAGATGAAGGCGCAGGCGCGGGAGGAGAAGCACCAGAAGCAGCTGGAACGGTGAGTGGCCCGGTGCGGGGCGCCATGGCCTGCTGTGCCCAGCAGTGCCCTGAGGTGCCCTGACGTAGCTGTGCTGTTCCCGGTCGGACGGGCCTCTCACCAGGCCTCCAGACCCGGGGCATCAGTGTTCTTAGGGTGTTGCTCTGAGCCTGGGCCGTGTCTGGCAGAGGCCACCCCAGAACACCACTCAGCTCCCAGCATGACCGAGACATGGCACGCCGGCAGCCCCCACGGGAAATGCCCACTGCACCTGCCCAAGCCTAACCTCCCTGTGCCTCTGTCTCCTCTCTGTACCAGGCAACAGCTGGAAACGGAGAAGAAGAGGAGAGAAACTGTGGAAAGGGAGAAGGAGCAGATGCTGCGGGAGAAGGAGGAGCTGATGCTGCGGCTGCAGGACTATGAGCAGAAGACCAAGAAAGCTGAGAAAGGTCAGGAACTGACTGTCGCCGCACCGTGGGGTTGCTGTGGGGTTGGCATTTCTGTCCCACCAAAGGTCAGGCAGGCCGGCAGCCAGGGAGGGCGTCCTTCCAGAGTGCATGTGTCTGTTTAACACAGCACCCCAAAACAGAGGCGTACAAAAGAGAATAAGAGGAAATGATCAATGATTTGGGTTCAAAAATAATTCTTGAGTTTGGCACCAGGACTCCTAGCCACTCAGAGGACTGAGATCTGAGGATCTCAGTTCAAAGCCAGCCTGAGCAGGAAAGTCTGTGAGACTTAATCTCCAATGAACCCAAGTAAGAGCAGGAAGTGGAGCTGTGGCTCAAGTGGTAATACACTGGCCTTGGGCAGAAAAGCTAAGGGACAGCTGAGTTCAAGTCCCAGTATTGGCGTGTGCACACACACGCGCACACACACAAAGTCATTTTCCCCTTTATTTACTTCTATGCAGATTATTTGCAATTTTCCCACCTTTTGAAATAAGTGCCAAAGTACCACCATCATCCCAATGAGAACATTAAGATTTAGCAAGGGGGAGTTGTCAACCTGTAGTCGGTCCGCAGGGAGCAGCCGAGCTGTGTCTCCAGTCAGCTTGACTCAACTCCCTGGCCAGACCTCACTGCCCATCGACAGCTGCCCACAACCCAGCTGTTCCTCCAGCCAGTCTGGGTCATGTGATCAGCCTGCCCTTGAGGGGCTCTCATTGTAGCTAGATTGCTGTCTGCTAGAGCCTGGGAAGAGCCTGGCAAGGCCTGTGTTCTAGGCAGCGCCCCGGTGATATGGGAGCCAAGGTCAGACCTGGCCGGTGAAGGGATGTCTGACCAGTTCCACGCAGCAGTTTCTAGCCATCTTGAGGAAGTTGTCATGGAAGCACAAGGACTCCCGAGGGGAGGCTCTTGGTCCAGCGAGTGTGGTTCTCCTGCCTCCCCTGGGGTGGGGACAGAAAGCCAGGACTGTGAGTCCCTGGCCCGGGCTCGAACCGTTCACTCTGGCCTCCCCTTCTGCACAGAACTCTCGGACCAGATCGAGAGAGCCCTGCAGCTGGAGGAGGAGAGGAAGCGAGCGCAGGAGGATGCGGAGCGGCTGGAGGCCGACCGGGTTGCCGCACTGCGTGCCAAGGAGGAGTTGGAGAGACAGGCGCAGGATCAGATAAAGAGCCAGGAGCAGCTGGTGAGGATTGCCTGGGTTTCAAGACGCTGAATTATGGAGAGACTGACTCTGGGGATGGAAGAGGCGACACCTGCCTTGCCGTGGCTTCCTCTGCCCCTGAAAGCGGATCTGCTGCAGGCGATGGCAGCTGCAGGGCAAGGGGCTGGGGCCTCGTCCGCAGCCCGTCCGAGGTGGCCACAGGTGTCCAACAACCCTCGGTGACCGTGGGCGGCCCGGATGGAACCCGATGGCCCTCAGTGGGGGAGGGGCTGGCTTAGCTCGCCACAGGAAGGCCGTTGGCAGACACTGGAGAATTCTCATTCACAAATAGACTGCCTCAAGCGTTCTAGAAACCAATTTTGCTTTGTCTTTTCTTCCCAGGCCGCAGAACTGGCGGAGTACACCGCCAAGATCGCGCTCCTGGAGGAGGCGCGGAGGCGCAAGGAGGACGAGGTGGAGGAATGGCAGCACCGGGTGAGTGTGCGCCTCGCGGAGGCCCCGGGTCCGAGGGCACCGCTGGGACTGCCCCTCCGCGCGGGCTGGGGGCTTCACAGCCCTTCCTGATGCCAGCTGACCTCGCGCAGTAGAAATCGCCGAGGAATAGGCCCAGCCTCGTACTCTTGCGTGGGATTAGCAGCCGAACAAAGACCTGCTTATTCCTTCCCACCACCTGAGCGTTGGGCCAGGATCGGAAACTTGTTCGACATCCAGTCTCCTGTGCCCCCGTAGCAGGGTTGAGGTGGCTGAAGTAAGACCTGGCAGTTGGAATTTGCTACACAGGACCTTGCACGACTCCATACGGGTGCCAGGCTGGGCCTGGTGTTGAACAGTGTGGCGGAAAGGGGCGCACTTCTGAGCCCTGTCTCTTTACTGCAAAACAGCTGTCTCCAGCTCGAGAGCCCACCCTGTGAACAAAAGACCATGTGTGCGGCCCCCAGGCAGATTTGATCAGCTGTAGCTGTAGTCAGGATGTTCCCTCCCTGTGGTTCTGCCTGCCCCGCAGGACGGCCGGGAAGCAGCAGGTCACATCATGGACCCCATAAGCCCTCCCCCACACTCCCTACTGCCTGTGTCCTCTGCCTCTGGGGTCCCTGCCAGGTGCTGCTCCTTCATTGTCTTCCACCACATTTCCCAGGCCCCATTCCGGCTCACCAACCTGTGATAAGCAGATGAGGCGCAGCTCTCTCCGTACTGCTGGCGGGGGTGGTGGGATGGGCCTGTGCCCTGGGTCGCTGCAGGACAGATTCACGGCAACAGATAAGGAGGTGCCTGAAGTCCAGTCGCTCGGGGAGAGAGGAGGCCCACACCCAGTGCTCCTGTGCCTCTGCGGGTGCTCATAATGGGGGGTTGGGTTCCTTTCTTGCTAGGCAGGCCTGAGTTGGGCCACACGCCCACCCCCTTTGGGCCTCTGTTTTTATTTTGTTTTATAATATGGATAAAGTCTCATGCTTTTCCACAGTCCAGCCTCAGACCCCAGTCCTCCGACCTATAACCTCCCACGTAGCTGGGCGCACTGGTGTCTCGCCACACCCAGCTTCTTTGTTGAGATCCAATCTTGTTAACTTTTTGCCCAGCAGGCCTCAAATGTCCACCCCCCGAGCAGCTGAGATTACAGACATCAGCCATAACACCCAGCTCTCCCATTGTTAGCATATGTCAGGATTCTATGCAGATGAAAGGGGGAAAGGCGACCCGAAGAGATGTCCAATCTCTGCCATGTGTTTGCCATGTGCCGTGGACGGCAGGGGGGAGCTCAGCCTGTGGGACTCCCCCGAGTTGCTTCTGAACCCCTTGCTCCTCCGAGGGGACCCCACCTCGTAAGTGTCTACCCCTCTCCCACCATGCAAGAGCTGTGGGGAGGAGCTCGCCTGTTATGTCATTTGCTCCCCAAAGGCCAAAGAAGCCCAGGACGACCTGGTGAAGACCAAGGAGGAGCTGCACCTGGTGATGACCGCGCCGCCGCCACCGCCGCCCCCGGCCTACGAGCCGGTGAGCTACCCTGCCAGTTACCACGTGCAGGAGAACCTGCAGGAGGAGGGCGCCGAGACTACCGGCTACAGCGCCGAGCTGTCCAGCGAGGGCATCCTCGATGACCGCAACGAGGAGAAGCGCATCACCGAGGCCGAAAAGAACGAGCGCGTGCAGCGGCAGCTGCTGGTAAGCGAGGCAGCCCGGTCCCCCCGGCCCCGGCCCTCCGGCCCCTCCAGCCCCCACGTCCCTGACCCTGGCTGCTTCCCACCCACAGACCCTGAGCAACGAGCTGTCCCAGGCCAGAGATGAGAACAAGAGGACCCACAACGACCTCATCCATAACGAGAACATGCGGCAGGGCCGGGACAAGTACAAGACCCTGCGGCAGATCCGGCAGGGCAACACCAAGCAGCGCATCGACGAGTTCGAGGCCATGTAACGGCCGGGGCCTGAGCCAGAGGCCCCAGGCTTTAGCGTAATTCAATCTAGAAACCCCTCCGTGTGTCCCGGGGCCCTCCAGGGGAAGTGTTCAGGGCCAGGAGCCCTGAAGTCCCCGGCTTGCTTTCCCCCACTTGTATCATAGTGCCAAAGAGGCCTGATTTGTCTTATTGTTTTCGTTGGGGTTTTTGTTTTTGAGTTATTGAATCCCTGCCTGTTCTCTACTTGGAGCAGGGCAAATGGAATTAAGTTGCCTGTAAAATTCTGCGTCGCCTCTGTTGGTCCATGTGACCCAAGTTTCTGTATCATTAAAGAAAACCACGTCGTGGCTTCCCTCTGTGCCATACTGCCTCTGGTTCTGAGACGAGCTCAAGCCCCTGTGCCCTTGGTTTCCAGGAAAGGTCCATCTGCATGTTTCTGCGGGGAGGGAGAAAGTTATTTTGGAAATCTGAGCCTATACCACTCCTCCACACAATGATTCCCTTCTTCCAGCATCCGCTGCAGCAGTTCGAGTCTGCAGTGGTCATTCACAGAGAACGGTACAGGACTCTTGATACACTGCGATGTTAGTCTTCTTCATAGAATATATCGTTGGGCTTCTATACCTAACTCATTCATGATCAGCTCTAGGACATAGTATTTATATATAAGGGTTTGTAACATTAGTTTTTAAAAGGGAAAGTTTTGTTCTGTATATTTTGTTACCTTTTACAGAATAAAAATTACATATTAAAAATAAAAACACAAAAACACATGTGACCATGGCACCGGCTCTGGAGTAAGAGCGGAAAGCCACAGCCTGCTGGAATCACAGCTGTACAAATTGTTTCTTTTACTGTTCTTTGTACATATAACCACACGCGTCCAATACCTAAGCTGCTTGTTCGAAAAATGCTGTTGCTAGATGATTCCGACTCCAGCCATGAAGGGACTCTGACCTGCTTCCATTCGTCCACACTCCTGAAGGACTATCAAACAGCTGCTCTCCCGAGCCCAGCTCCTTCCCCCTGCTACCCTGTGCGGCCTTCCCAGTCTGCGGGCGAACGCCAGCCTGCAGGTGTACACAATAAAAGCTCTCCTAGGCACCGCAGCCCAGGGTGTCTGCTTGTGTGGGGGTGGGGTGCCAAGGACTTACCAAGGGTTCTCTGCAGGGCCCCCAAGTCTGAACATTTATTGAAATCTGACCGTTTCCCCGTAACCCACCCAAGTCTCATCTGTGTGATGCTCTGGTCCTTGCGTATACAGATGTGGTGTGGACGGCGTTCTAGGCTCCTGGGGTCTTGTCCAGCAATGGCCCCTCAGTGCCACCAGCGCGCACCCCAGCACGGCAGCCTGGAGCTTCGCCTCAGTGCAGGGTGAGGGTCATGTCTGTCCATAAATTGGGGCTGGAAAGCACTTTCTGCCACCGAAGCTTTGTCTGAGAACACGTGCCCGCATCGTCAGCTGCACCTGCCTCTGTGATGTTACAGACAAATGAGCGTGGGGGTGGGGAGGACCAAGAAAAGTCTTCCTTCTGACTGGAAGCTGTATAATAAAGCTGACCACAGATGACTGAGAGTGACCCCACCACAGCCCCGCTGATAGGAAGTACACGGCATTTCTGAGGTCTGGGGGGGAGGGGAGTCAGCACCCAGGGCCAAGGCTGTGGGCAGAGGGGTCACAACAGGATTCTGTAGGGGGTGGTGCTTGGTCAAGCTTCCTTCCAGAAACTTCACAGTCTTGTTTAGCAATTCTCAGTGGGAGGCCGGCGGCCTGTGCACAGGTGTGGGGGATGTGGCAGTGTGGGAGCTGCTGGCTGCTGGGGCAGAGTCTCCCCACAAGCAGAGGGCTAACCCCCCTCCCAGCAGACCCCGTGAGCCACACTGAATAGTCCTTTCTGATTTGTCATTTGTTTGGGGTAAGGTATTTTCCTTTCAGAAAATAATCCTCTTAATGGTTGACACCAGCCACAAAATTAGATTCTGTGCTTGCCCACTTTAAGGCCTAAAACTTTCACTGCTTTAACAGATGTAAATCTGATTTAAATTGCCCACATACTTGGCTGTATTACCGTTCTGTTGCCGAGTTAAACCTGCATCTCGGGATTCCCATTTAGGGCAGTTTAGGCAATTTCAAAGCTAATGAAGTCACTGCCACCGTAGACTGATTTTTCTCTCTTCTCATGACTGCAATGAACAGCAAAGCTGTGGCCCGTTACTGGATAAGCACTGGGGACTCAAGCACGTACCTGAGCCCAGTCTGGCTCTGCCCAGCAGGCGGTCGCTCATCCCAAACAGGGCCTGGTCCCAGACAGTCAGCTCCAAGCTGGACTGCCTCAGCTGAGCCGGGGTTACGCCACTGAACACAAAGGAGTGCTTCCACTGCGGGCAGGCCTGCTTCTTGAGCACTGGTGACCTCAGCCGCAGTTTCTGTTGGTCCGGCAGAGTGAGGCAGCTGAAGAAGGGACACAGGAAGCTCTGAGCTCCGTGTCCAGCAAGCAGCCTCCCCCCTTCCCCAGTAAGACCCATGACCCAGCGTGGACACGTCCGACTTAAAGTGAACGCTCTAAACCAGCCTGGAAAGCTCAAGGTCTGGCCTCGGGCCCTCACAGAATTTCTCTGAATTTAGGTCAGCGATGAAGGCTGCTGGCATCCTCAGTCTCTCCTTCCCACCCATTGGTGATAGAACCCATGAGGTGGGCACTGCCCGGGGACCGGGGCTCTATAGACTTGGGATCTCATTTTGTTCCCTTCTCCTGAGGCAAATACATTCTGAAAGCCCAACTCTCCCAAGGCCTGACACAGAAACAACAAGGTTAGGACACAGGCTTCTGTGGGGATGAGGTAGGCCATGACTTGACATTCTGTCAGCCACTGGTGGTCTGCTCGTCAGTATAACTATTGGTGCTTGCTTTTCCGTCGGAGAAACCAACACACTCGTAACCTATAGTAACTAAGAATGAAATGTGGAGCCAGGCGCTGCGGGCTCACGCCTGTAACGCTAGCTACACAGGAGGCTGCGACCTGAGAAGGGAGGTTCGAAGTCAACCTGGACAGGAAAGGGTGAGATTCTTATCTCCACTAAATTACCCAAAAAGCAGAAGTGGAGCTGTGGCTTGAAGTGGTAGAGCAAAAGGTCAGGGACAGCACCTAGGCACTAAGTTCAAGACCCAGCACCAGACGGAAAACAATGTGGAGCCATCACAGAGTGGTTTGTCCAATTAAGTGAGGAAATACTGACTTGAACCCACTATTCTTTCATACTTGATTTCAAAACTGATCGATATAAAATAAGAACTGGTACGATCTGAGTTTCTGGTTAAATGTAATGACTATATCCCATGAATTCTTGGATACTGGACTTTCATAGGAGAGCTACAGTAAGATGAAAATTTAAATGCCCTGTACTTTCTGGTATTTCCTACAGGTTCTGGGACTGGAGTACAGAATCAGTAAACCGTATTACCTCTACTAACACTTACCCCTTAACAAATGAGTTTAAGCTCCCATCTGAGCGCACAGGTAAATTCTTGGCTCCCAGAACCACCAAGCAGAGTTGACCATCAAGGGTCAGCTGATCTGTCCCTGGAAGGAAAGACAGAGCTTCCGTCAAATGCATTTCTCCTGATACCTTGAGCGGGTAGTACCAGCTCCTCAAAGCCGGCCATTCTGCCGGATGATGGTATGGCCTCCACCCCAAGAGCAGGGGGAAGGGGTACACGGGTCCTGCCCATGCACTGCCTGCTAAGTGGTCAGCGTGATACCCAGGTCAAGGTTTCTAAAGCCCTAGGAAGGCAGGAGCTGCAGAGAGGGCTGGGAGGGAGGGAAGATGGAGAAGCTTTAGTCTGGTTGAAACCAATGGTTCTGGAAATGAAGAACCTCAGCCTGCTGCCACAGAAGGACAGATAGACATGGCCACGGGTGCTGGCTGCTGGTGGCCTGTGAGATGAGAAGCAGAATTTCCTCTGTTTGCCAGTAGCAAGTCACTGAGCAATGCAGCGGAGCCGTGAGCTCTCCCATCTCCCCTCTCTGTCCTCAGGTTCATGTGCGTCACATTAGCTAAGCCTCTGTCTACGGTGCTCATGTCACATTAGCTAAGCCTCTGTCTACGTGCTCGAGGCTCTGTCCTTTCTCACTCAGCCGGCTAGTCCCCTCTGAGCCCTGGGATCCAGTAGCTTGCGAAGCCCTGGTGGTTTCTGAAAAGCCAATGCCCCCCATGCGACACACACTGGCGTTTCCCTTCTGGCTGTCCAATCTGCCACTTGAGGGAAGGCAGAGGGAGTCTAGGAGCCAGTGTCTTTACAGTGTGTGAAGTGGGCGTGAAGGCCTTGGCTGCCATGGTCCCTCACATAGTGGTTTGGGGACATACACCACCCCCTTTCCAGGCTGCTTCTCCATCACCATGTGAGTTCCTGGGGCACCCAGGATCTGCAGGTGGTGGGAAGGAAATGCTAGGAAGTCCTACAAACCTGTGCCCACCTCTATGCCTGCCTGCCTGCTTGCCTGCCAGGCTTTGGGAACCGAACCATGACCCAGACAAGTGCTCAGCCGGCCTGAGGTCACCTACCTTCCTGAGCCTCTTGGGGCTTTCTAGGCCCCGCAGGAAGGACCAATTTAGCCCGGACAGCAAGTTCTCCATTATTCTGAGGAACATTGTCTTCGCATTTCTCACCCTGTGGGAAAGAGGCAGACTTCAGAGGCGGGATCCCGCCCCTCTTCACCCCTACCTCCAAGCCATCCAAGAACCTCCTTGCTATTCTGGTTGCCTCAGCCGTGTCCATATACCGCCCCCCCCCCCCGCTTCCCCTGCAAAAGCTCTCGGGCCTGCAGAGCCTGGGGTGAGGCGGGTATGGGTGTGACACACAGTCCTTCTCCATCCTTGGACTTATCTCGGCATGCTCACCACCCCCTGTAAGCCACCGCTGACAGGGGCCAAGAAGCAGGCCGATGAGAGCAAGCCAGCCCTAAGGAAAGCTGTGCACAGATCTGAAAACAGTAAATAAGATCTGGCTTCCCCACCCTCCACCACCCCCCCCCCCCCCCGCCCACCTCAGCCATTCCATCCAGGTCATTAGGGACTCGTGCCAAGGTTCACGGTGAGCACTGGAGTTACAGAGCTCACAGATTGTGCCCCAGCCCAGGACTGGACACTGAGCTCTCCCGGCTGTGGGTGTCTGGCAGCACCTTGTCCTGACCCCCTGCTGAGCCCCCCCACCCCACCCCGAGGCAGCTTCTCTGGTCATGAGTCATTTTGCCCACATGTAAAGAAGAGCCCAGGGAAAGATGACCCTGAAATCCAGCCAATCTTTCACCCCAGGATGGGCACAGCAGGCTGAGAAGGATCCACGCACAGTGGCCTATGGCTCTAGCATAAGGAGAAGCTCTTGGTGATCACAAAGGGCCCTGGTTCCTCAGGAGCCACGCAGGCTGGCCTGTGTCCACGCTGAAGCGTTTCTGCCTGGTCTGAGATGCCCATTGAGATACAGCCTCTGCCATCCTGCGAATCTGGAAATCAGATGCCAGCGCCACAATCCTCTGCTGTCAGAGCCCTGGGGTGCAGGGCCTGTGAGCCACACCGCATTCAGTGTTGAGCCCTGATTTCTTAGCTGGCCCGGGGAGGGACACTGTTGAGATTGGCACACTCTGCTTCCGACCTGCTTGCCTTAGGAAGCTCTCTAGAGGAGGCCCCATCGGACAAGCCTGCTGGTGAACTGTGTAAGCCCAGGCCCACACCGGATGCTGCCCACAGAGGTGTTGCAGCAGGAGAGTGACTTTCACAGGAAGGCTAGCCTCACAGACATCACCTTGGCCCAGAGGGAATACCAGCAGAAGGCCCGCGTCGCGCTGTCCTCAAAGTCCCACGTGGCCAAAGGAACGATCACTTCGCCAAGGAATGCCCTCCGAGCCAGAGCGCCTAAGTGCCACACGGACACCTGCAGCTTCCGGGTGGCCAGCTGGGAAAGGTCTATGTGATACTGCAGGAACAGAGCGGAGGTGCTGAGTGGCGGCCTCTGGCCCTGCTCCCCGGGCTGACAGGGGCAGTGCCCCCCACCCCCACCCCATCCCCAGAGCTGGCTGCAGCTTGGCATGGTATGGCCAAGCTGCCTGGAGTCGGGGAGGGCGGAGGAAAAGGGTGTGCCCTCTGCCCTCTGCCCAAATTCACCAGGACCCCCACCCACAGCCCGGTTCTGTTCCCCTCCTAGGACCCACTTCTCAGTACAAGGATGGAAGCCCTAAGATCTGAACTTGCACCTGGCCCAAACCATCCCCAGCCAGCGCCATCCTAAAGTAGTAAAAGCTAGGTTTAAAAAACATAATAACGTTTGTTTGTATCTACATGTGTCCTGCTGGTACATGGGCTTGAACTGAAAGACTGAGCACTGTCCCTTAGCTTGTTGCTCAAGGCTGGCACTCTACCACTTGAGCCACACCCTCACTTCTGGCTTTTTGGTGGTTAATTACAGACAAAAACCTCCCAGACTTTTTCTTCCCAAGCTGGTTTTGGACCTCCATCTTCGGATCTCAGCCTCCTGAGTAGCTAGGATTACAAGTGTGAGCCACCGGAGCCTGGATGTTCTGTAAGAGTCTTGAGGACCTGTCTGCCTGAGGCTGCCTGCAACCTCAATCCTCCCACACCCAGCTTCCACAGTAGCCAGGATTGCAGGCATGAGTGCACAGTGCCCCACTCAGAAAACTTTTGATGATCGATTTTGTGACCTTCAACTTTCTTGTGCACTTTTCTCAAAACTGACTGGAGACTGCTGTCATAGCTCATCATTTCCCAGTCTTCCCTGATGCCCGAGGTGGCAAAGCCTGGGGAAATGTGAACGGCTGGTTTGTGCAAGGCTTTCAAATGACCGACTGGCTCCCTCACCCCCATCTTTTCCATCCAGTTCAAGTCTGGCCTGTGTGGAGATGCTCTGAATATGGACTAGAGCCATGATTCTTTCAAACTTCCTTGCAAGAGTTTTCCAGGACTACAAACTACTCACAACAGGCTGAAGAAAACCCACGGGCAAAAACAATTGTGGGTGAACAAATGCAGCCGTGGTCCTCACTAAACACTACATTGAAAGTGAACTTCCAACTTATAGGTGAGGAGGGAAAAACTGAGAGAGAAAAGGGAAGGGGTGTCACTGTCCTAAAAGACACGCACTCATCACCTGAGCTATGGACCTGCAGCCCCTCTGTCCACCAGCTTTATAACAATAAAAAAATTAATTGTGATTTCCTTGAGCTTCTGTGTGCAACTGAAATTAGATAGCTGGGGTGTGGTTCAAGTGCTAGAGCATCGGCCTCCCAAGTGCAAAGCCCCGGTTTCAAACCACAGAAACCAAAGGAAAAAATTCCTCAGAAATATGTGCATATGGTTAAAAAACACACTTTTAAAATTATATAATTAGGGCTGGGAAGGTGGCTCAGTGGTAGGGTGCTTGCCTTGCATGCAAGAGGCCCTGGGTTCGATTCCTTAGCGCCACACAGGCAGAAAAAGCCTAAAGTGCTGCTGTGGCTCAAGTGGTAGAGTGCTCGCCTTGAGCTGAAGAGCTGAGGGACAGCGCCCAGGCCCAGAGTTCAAGCTTCACAATCGACCAAAAAAGAAATTTATATAATTAAGTTTGTCTAAAATAGCCTTTAGAAACCTCTGTCTAGCATAAAAATACCTCATTAAATATTTAATGATGGAACTGGAGGTATGGCTCATCTAGCAGAGCACCAGCCTTGAATGAAAATGCTGGCTGAGCCCCAGCCCAAAAAAAGTATGATGAGTAATTTTAGGTAGCAACTTAAAATGTGTGAGGTGACATCGCTTTAAATTTTCTCCTAGTGGGCACGTGGCTTGGCAAATAGCCACATGACTGGCCTAGGATGGCTTGCCTGTGTGTGGCCCGGCTGCAGCCAGCAGCATGGACAGACGGACGTGTGCAAAAGAGGTAACAGAGCCTCTCAGGCCCCAGCCACACCTGCTGAGTCAGAGCTCATAACTTAAAGAAACAATCCCAGAGGCTTCCCCGGGGGCCGCCCGGGGGCCCGGCTTCCAGTGAGGCTGCTGCAGTCCCAGCTCTGGTCGGTAAGCGAGGATTCCAATGCCTGCCTCAGTATACAGACAGCCCTTGGCAACAGCAGGGACCCAGGAAACAAACAATGGCTATTATTATTTAATGAACTTGGGCTCTGTGCCAGCTGCCCAGATGGCCCCTGGCTGCCAGTTCACAGACACCCCTACTTGCCAAGGAAGACAAACAAAGCTCTCTCTTCTTGCCAGCAGCAGACAGCAGAGCTTGTGGAATACCTAGTTCTGGCTGAGGCCCCCAGGGCTGGGCTGCACGTCTGGCTGGGGTTCCCACAGCCAGCTCTGTGCCCAGGCCCAGTCTCCCTACCCCAAATCAGAGCAGAAGGCCTGGGCTCTGCCCTAAACCTAGTCAGATTTCTTAGCATCAAAGAACACGGGGGGGAAAAAGTCCTTCATAAAAAAAAAAAAAAGTTTTCCTTCATATGTGGAAGTTAGATCTAAATGATAAACATATGAAAATATATGCAGAATCATAATTAACAACATAAAAACCAAGAAGGATCACGTGTTGTTGGGAGAAAAGGTCAAGAGGAGCGGGGCACAGGAATGGGGAGAGGAAGGGTAGGCAATGCTCAATGTACATAGGTGAAAATGAAACCAGGTAAATCGAGGGGATGGCTAGAGGTGGGAGAGATGGGGAAAAAGACAAAAGCGCTGACCCTGATCAAGATGGTTGCACTCACAAGCTGAAACCACTTTGAGCCAGTTACCAATGGCTCACATCTATAATCCTAGCTACTCAGGAGGCTGAGGTCTGAGGATCACGGTTCAAAGCCATTCCAGTCAGGAAAGTCCTAAAGACTCTTATCTATAATTAACCAAAACAATATCAGGAAGAGGAGTTGTGGCTCAAGTAGTAGAGCACCGGCCTTGAACAAAAAACCCAAACGAGAATGTAAGGACCTTGAGTTCAAGCCCCAGGGCTGGCATGCATGCGCGCAGGCGCGCGCACACACACACATATACACACACGCGCACACACACACACATGCGTGCGCGCGTGCGTGCGCGCGCAAAAAAAAAAATTACTAGAGTTTTTCCAGTACTGCAACCATAAGCCCTTGTACTGAGACCAAAAGTCAGTGGTTTCATCTTTGGGGATTCCCACCTGACATGATTCAGATACTTCATCATTTGACCCTTGCTTGCAACAAGCAAAGCCAACTCTTGAGCCACGCTGTTTCCGGGTGTTAGGCTGAGACTCAGAGGCAGCCCAGGCTCATTTTTGTCATTTCCATTTGCTCAGAAACCATTTCTCAAAAGCCATTCTCCTCCAGTGGAGCCTGCGCTGTCCCTGTACAGAGGCCTATTTGCTGGCACCAGCCGCTGCTAGGCAGAGCCGTGGAGAAGCATACAGGCGTCTGCACTTACAGGATGTGGAAGAGCCTTGTTGAACCCGGACCCTGTGCCCAGCTGGGTTGGGAGGACTCAGCTCAGGAATAGGTGCCCAGCAAGTACCTTCAAGGTCTCCTCAAAGGTTGGGTCTGTGGTATTCTTTTGGACTCCAGTCTTGCGTTTTCCCCGGGAAGATCTGTCGGGCAGTAGATAGGTTTTCACATACCTAGGGGGCAGATGCAGGAGGACAAACTCAGAGCTCAGCATGGGGTAGCCAGAGTTGAGGGGGCAGAACGCACATCAGCGTTTTCTGCACTCTGCTTCCCACTGGGCCCAGCGACGCTTGTGCTGGTGGGCGGCTTCTGCTTCACACAGCTCTGCCAGAGGCTGGCTATGTGACCTCCCAGAATATTTCTGCCTCTCCTGCCCTTTGATGAAAACGAGGGAAGAGAGTCCTCAGTCTGCCGGGATGGCCGGGCCAAGGACCCAGCTCCCTTCTCCCTCTCCACTGATCACTGCCCTCTAGCACCCCAAAATAACGAGGAAATGGAAAGCTCAGGGAACCTCAGAATCGCCCCCTCCTGACTTTGGAGGGTCCTGAGTTTTGCTGCTGTTCTGTTTTGTTTCAGGACCTTCACTTTAGCCTCATCTTTTTTTTGCTTTACGTTTTTTCTCGCTCTCTCCCTATAATAGAATTTTACATTTCTAGCTAGGCCAGGCTAGACACGATCCTCCAGTCTATGCTTGACACATAACTGGGGGGGCATGCACCGCATCCAAGCCTCACACTGGTTGAGATGAGGTCTCTCAAAATTTTTCCCCTGGCTGGTCTTAAACTGTGACCCTCCCTGAGCTCCTCTCCCAAGTAGCTGAGATTACAGGAGTCAGCCATCACATCTGACAGCCTCTTACTTTTGAACTTTGATGTAAATAACATCATTCATATGTGTTCTTCTATTACTTGTTTTTTTTCCTGAATATAATACTGAAAGTCATTCACAATGCTGTAGGTAGCCTCATTGATTTATAATCCTGTATATTATTCTACTACATGAGTATCACAATTTATTATCTTCCCTTTTTGCCTTTTTTTTTTTGCTTTTTGCCTTTTAGGTGTTAAGTTTTTGCAATTACAAGCAACTCTGCTTATGATGACTATCCTACATTCTAGTTGTAGCTGAGCAAGAGTTTCTCCAGGCATAAAACCGAGAATGAGAGGGTGTGTGCTTGTTATGTAATGTACAGAGCCAGAGAACTTGAACTCAGGACCTTGCACATACTATGTAAGTATGTGACCACTAAGCTACACCCCCAAGCAGTACATGCCCTTTCAACTCTGCTAGATCATGCTAAGTGACTAATATAGTATGAGACTACTCAAGTTTTCTATTTCATCTCATATCAGCTCAGTTAATTTATGCTTTTTTAAAAAAGTATCCACATAGAACTGGAGTTGTGGCAGAATGTCAGCTATGAGTGAAAAAGGGTCTAGGAACAAAGAAAGTTGATATGAGCAACAACCTATTGCTTTACCCACCATTGCTCTTTAGCTTGGCAATGAAAAAAAAATGTAATGATGAGGTCCTTGCCTTAAAGCTATATGCAGAATATTCAATGCCAGTTCTGATTTGAAAGGAGCTTATTGTTTGTTTGCTTACTTGTGGCACTGGGGCTTTGAACTCATGGCCTCCCCTTAACAGGCAGATATTCCATAACTTTAGCCATTCTCCCAGTCGAGAGGGGGGAGGGGAGGGGGAGGGGAGGGGGAAGGGGGTAAAGGGGGGAACTCTCTTAGGAGAAACTAGAAAATGTATTCACCACTTTCTGATGGCACTGGAGTTCCATAGACACACAAAAGAGGCTGTCGTGTTAGTTTATTTTCCCTTTTTTGAAATGCAAGCTTTAACGGCGGAGCCTTGCAGTGCTCAGCACATAGTCTAACTCTGGAGGAAAAGGCCAGCAGAGATGGGTGGGAAAGAAGAATGTTCACAAATATGCTACTGTCAAATTCTCTATAAGAAAAGTCATCATAAATGATCAAAAATAAGGAATAGCTGGGATGGATAGCCAATGGAGAACTTTTTCAAATCTATTTAAAATAAGTGCTTTGGGGCTGGGAAGGTGGCTCAGTGGTAGAGGGATTGCTTTGCATGCCTGAGGCCCTGGGTTCGATTTCTCAGCAACATATAAGCAAAAAGAAGAAAGCCAGAAGTGGTGCTGTGGCTCAAGTGGTAGAGCACTAGCCTTGAGCTGAAGAGCTGAGGGACAGTGCCCAGGCCCAGAGTTCAGGCCCCATGACTGGACCCCCCCCAAAAAAGGGGAATATAAATATAAAATGTGTGGTTGGGTATTCATGGTTCATGCTTGTAATCCTAGTTACTCAGGAGGCTATGATCAGAGGACCACAGTTCAAAGCCAGCCTGAGAAGGAAAGTCTACAACATTCTTATCTCCAATAAACTACTCAGAAAAAGCTGGAAGTGGCACTGTGGCTCAATGGTAGAGCGCTAGTATTAAACAAAAGAAGTTCAGAGACAGTGTCCAGACCCTGAGTACAAGCCCCAAACAAGCACACACACACACACACACACACACACACACACACACGCACGCACACAAAAGGTGCACATCTCTGTTAGTGATCAGGGAAATGGATATTTAAATACTATTTAAATAGTGATGATATTTCATATCAGTCGGGGAATTATTTAGTCTATGAATTATATATGAGGCAAGATTTTAATGTTGTTATTCCTTTTTTTTTTTATTTTATTTTGTTGGTCATAGGGCTAGAACTCTGGGCCTGGGTCAGCTCTTCAGCTCAAGGCTAGCACTCTACCACTTGAGCCACAGCACCACTTCCAGCTTTTTCTGTTTATGTGGTGCTGAGGAATTGAACCCAGGGCTTCAAGCTTGGGAGGCACGCACGCACTCTACCACTGAGCCACCTTCCCATCCCTAATGTTGTTTATCCTGTATGGAAGTCTTTCAACTTTCCAACACCATTTATTGAAGCCTACCTTTCCCACCGGCACCCCCACCCCACCCCCGAGTACTGGCTAGTAATAGCCCCTTGATAGATTAAATGTTTATGTTCCACTAAAATTCACAAGTTGAAACTAAAGCCCCAGTGTGAGGGTCTTTGGCGGGAGCTCTGGGGGTGATTCGGCCTGAGTTCAGACTTCAGGAATGGGATGAGTCATCGGAGAGCAACCCCGCACTTTCTTCCATGTGATGACAGAAACCAATGGGCATCCGGAAACCAGGAGCTAGCCCTCAACAAACACCAAACCTGCCAGCACCTCCCATGTGCCAGCACCCACAACTGTGAGAAATTAATCTCTGTAATTTAAACCCACAGACTTACGTTACAGTGACCAAATGGTCTAAGATAACCCTTGACCAATCAACTCCCATAAATACTAAGCTCTAGCTGGGCTTCTGATTCTGTTCTGTCTCCCAGTGTGTGGACAGCACAGCTTTACTGATATTCCTTAAAGCAAGTCTTTTATGATCATCTTAGATATTCTTGGACTTTCCCTTTTCCATATAAAACTTGAGAAATCTGTACATAGATCATCTTGTACTAAAACTTTTTGAAAAGAGACAAAACTTACGGATTGCATTTTCTCTTCTTTTCCTCCCCATAAGCAAGATTCTTGCAGGTCCTGATGCATATTTCTAAAGAATGGGTTTTAAAGCAATAACGCACGGCAAATTCTATTTCTCCAGTGACATTGACATTGTCAAAATTACCCATCTCCGTGCAAGTGCTGTTGATGCTAATTAAGCTTCCCTAGAACCAAAATGACAGATATAATAATTATTACTTCACAGTACATTTTTTGGCAGTTCTGATTTCAAGGTATCAAATATATCACAGTTCACACAGAGCATGCGTCCTCCCCATAATGCACCAGCTTGTGCTTTGCCAAAGTAAGGGGCCACCTGTTCTAACTTAAAGAGATGAGGTCTCCTGAGAAGACCTTGTCACATGAGGGTCATGGCCTAGCAACAAAGGCTGTCCAAGCCCACTTGTTCACACGAATCACTGGCAATGAGTCAAACTATCCTGTGCAGTTCTACAAAACCTGCGTCAGGACCAGACTGCATCCCTGTCAGGACATGAGGCCCCCACCAGGTGTGGAGCCACTGGCCGACACTGGAAATCACACAGACCTCAATTCCCATGCCAGCTCATTAGCTCTGTCAAAGTCTTACTGGGGAAAGTAATCCTTGTCCCTCAGGGTGGTGGCCAGGACAGAGTGAGGCTTGTGATGTGTGCAGAGGTCACACTAAATTGTGTTTCAATTTTTATGGGTACCTAAAAATAAAACAAGGAAACTGCCATCGTAAACCGAGGCCCTTCGAGCTTCGAGGATGGGTAGAGATGAGTAACACCAGATGTCTGTGCTGAAGGATAAAATAAACCACCTTATCACTATTAAATTTGCTCTCACAACTGATACCATTTGCATGAGATCAATCTCAGTGCTGATTTTACAGAACAGAGAAGCCTAATTGGTTTCAAATTCCTAACTAGACCTGCCACACTACAAAACACCAAGGGAAGAAGCTGAGAAAGTCTCTGGCCAAGTTTCAGAACTGCTAAAGAGAGAGAGAGAGGCAGAGAGAGAGAGAGGCAGAGATAAAGAGAAAGAGAGGCAGAGAGAATGAGCAAGAGAAAGAGAGGGGGGAGGGAGAGAGAGAGAAGAGGGAGAGAAAGAGAGAGGCAGAGAGACAGAGAGGCAAAACCAGACCAACAACTCCTCAGAAATCCTAGAACCTGAATGCAGCCAGCCACCCCACACCCAGTTAACTGCTGGTTCTGAAAATTGTCATCTGCCAATGACATATGACTGCTTTAAAAATGTGTACACAGTGAAAACCACACAGGAAGCTGAGACAGCATGAATGAGGAAGGTAGGCACGTGATTGGCAGAAGTAAGCTGTGGGGGCGGGGAGGGGAGGATAATGAGGGGGATGAATGGAGATCCGAAGAATTCCCATCATTAAAACAGCACTCAGCCAGGCACAACTACTCAGGAGGCCGAGATCTGAGAAACTCTGGCCTGACAGACAAATCCATGAGACATTTTATCTCCTATTAAATTGTAAAAAGCAGGAAGTGGAGGTATGATTAAAGAGGCTGACCAAAAAAGCAGAGCAAAACAACACAAAGCACTCATCTTGGGACTTCACATTGAACTGTGTTCTACCAACTTCTCTGCCAAGAATAAGTTGAAAGTTGAATTAAACAACCAAAGTGCTCCAAGACATTGTGGAGCTACCAAGACAACCAGAATGCTAGGGTCCAAGATGCTAACGAGAAGAAAAGCAATCGAGGTCCTTCTGGTGCTCTGAGCACCTTCTCCCACAGGCATTTGTGCAAGGAGCCAGGCAGGCAAGTCCACAAGACTCTTCATTCCAATTAAGTGCACGCTCACACATGCACGCTCACACATGCACGCACACACACACACACACACCCCAGAACTGGTAGAGAACTAGGAACAGCACCTCAATGCTGAGTTCAAGCTTCAGGACCACCACAAATAAATAAATAAATATTGAAGTTGGTGAAATGAAGAACTCTACAAATTAATTTAGGATCATACATAGCTGATTTGAACACAGGAAGATAAGTCAATAGAAAATACCTAGAGTGGGGGCTGGGAAGGTGTCTCAGTGGTAGAGCGCTTGCCTTGCATGCTCAAGGCCCTGGGTTCGATTCCTCAGCACCACATAAGAAAAAAGCCGGAAGTGGCACTGTGGCTCAAGTGGTAGAGCACTAGCCTTGAGCTGAAGAGCTGAGGGACAGTGCCCAAGCTCAGAGTTCAGGCCCCACGACCGGACCCAAAAAAAAAAAAGAAAAAAAGAAAATACCTAGAGTGAAGCTGGGCACTGGTGGCTCACGCCTGTAATCCTAGGTACTAAGGAAGCTGAGATCTGAGGATCAGGATTCAAAGCCAGCCTGGGCAGGAAAGTCCGTGAGATTCTTACCTTCAATAAACCACCAGAAAACCAGAAGTGGCACTGTGGCTGAAGTGGTAGAGCACTCTTCTCGAGCTGAAGAGCTAAAGAGCTAAGGGACAGTGTCCAGGCCCAGAGTTCAAGCCCCACGACTGACACCCTTCCCCCAAAAAAACCTTAGAGTGAAAAGAAAATACACAGAAAATATCTAAGTGAGAAAACAAGGTGAATAGAAAAGTGTGAAAAATATACTGTACATAAAGAAAAAGTATAATATACATTTGAAAAATCATAAAGAATAAAAATGGGGCAGTGATGTATTTAAAGAGATCAGAGCTAAGAATTTTGCAAAAACTAACAATGACAATAAACCTCAGGTTGAAGAGTGAAAAACATTTTTATAACATGGAATGACACATAGGCCATCAGAGTAAAATTACAGAAAATCAAAGGCAGGGGCTGGGAAGGTGGCTCAGTGGTAGAGCGCTTGCTTTGCATGCATGAGGCCCTGGGTTCAATTCCTCAGCACCATGTAAGAAAAAAGAAAAAAGCCGGAAGTGGTTCAAAAGCTGGAAGTGTGGCTCAAGTGGTAGAGCACTAGCTTTGAGCTGAAGAGCTGAGGGACAGCACCCAGGCCCAGAGTTCAGGCCCCACGACCGGACTCCCCCCCCCAAAAAAAATCAAAGGCAGAGAAATATTAATGGCAGAGTGGGGGGAAGATACATTACCTTTGACAGAAGAAGACATACTACCTACTGCTCAAGAGAAGTGGCAAAAACCAGAAAGATCTGACAAATCCCAAAGCAATCACTGGAAGAGGGAATGGAGGCAGACCATAGATCAGGAAAAAAATAGGTAACACGAAAAGTAGAAAGCAAGTAGGTAAGACAGATTTAACCCAAAATATATCAGAAATTACTTTAAAAATACAAGTATTTCATAATGATAAAGGAGTCAACCCACTTGAAAGCATGAACGAAGCATAAATATAGGAAAAACTGACAAATAGTCATTTTTATATACTCTTCTTATAAGTAAAACAGATAAATTTGTTAGTAAAGGTATAATTGACTTTAAATAATACAACACACCTGACTTCATGCTCATTATAAAATATTCCTCACAGCAAATGAAGACTTATAGGCACTCTAACAAAAAAAAAAATTGCCACAAGGACATAAAACAAGTCTCAGGGTTGTTACATGGATTAAAACAATAATGTAGATGAAATTCTGAGCACATTGCCTACCTGACCCAGAAGCATTTTAAGGAGGTAACTACTATCGGTTTGTTGTTTTTCTTGTTTGTTTGTTCATTTCGCCAGTCCTGGGGCTTGACCTCAGGGCCTCAGCCCTGTCCCTGAGCTTCTTTCACTCAAGGCTAGCATTCTTAATACTTTGAGTCACAGCACCATTTTCGGCTTTTTCTGAATAGTTGATAAGAGTTTCATGGACTTTCCTGCCTGAGCTGACTTCAAACCACAATCCTCAGGTCTCAGCCTGCTGAGTAGAGAGGATTACAGGTGTTAGCCACCTGTAGTAGCCACTACTATCATTATTAATAGTATTCGTATTGATGATAACATGTATGTACATGATGGTACTTGAGTTCCACAAACTGAAAATGAGAGGCTAACTTTGTTACTCCCCACACTGACAGATAAGGAAACTAGAACTCAGTGGGTTAAGTCACTTGGCTGAAGTTACAGAGGGTTAGGACAACCATCCAAGACTCATGACTTAATAACATTGACCCTCTAGGTACAAGGAAGCTCAATCCTTCATGCCATCATCTCTACATTATTTTAAATCAAGATACTTTAAGTGCTCATTTATTAACTTCATAAACATTTCTAGAAGACTTCCTAGGAACCAGACACTGAACAAGGTGTTGGAGGAAACATGGAAAGCAGAAACTCCCAGTCCCTAATCCCCTGGAGTTTAGTCTAATGGACGAGATGGATCTTGCTAGACAAAAATCCAGCTAGAGAAGTAGGGACAAAAACAAAGGCAACCTTGAAAATAGGAAGAAAAAGAGTAGATTCTGAAGGGATGAGAGGTCAGCAGTGTTGGATGCTGGGAAAAGGTCAGGTGAAAGGAGGTCAAAAGTCATGACTGGACTCTGTGATGTGAAGGTCACTGGTGGAGGGTGAAGGGGTGAGACCCCCATCAGCAGGGTGGGCTGATATATGAATGGAAGAAAAAACAAAGGTATGACAAGTGACAAAGGACTCTGGAAAGTTTGGCCAAAGAAGGAAGGGGAAAAAAGGTAGCTGGGGAAGAATGGACAGTTATCCAAAATATTAGAAACCAGGATACAATAAAGCCACCAGTACAACCATGTTCATTGCAGTACTATTCATCACAGTCAGGCTATGGGATCTGCCTCGATGCCCTTCTGTGGATAAATGGATCTAGAAAATGTGGTATGTATACACAATGGAATTTTATTCATCCATTAGAAATGATACTGTACCATTTGTAAAGAAATGGAAAGACCTGGAAAAGTTATATTAGGTAAAGTAGGCCCAGAGAGATAAAGAATATGTGTTCTCCCTTGTGTGGAAGCTGGATTTACCCTGTCAACTTATAAGTAAGTGTGTTGAGTTCTTATGTGTGGAAGCCGGATCTACCCTGTCAACTTATAAGTAAGTGTGTTGAGTTCTTATGTGTGGGAGCCAGATTTACCCTATTAACTTATAAGTAAGTGTGTTGAGAGGTATGCAAACATTTACAAGTACATTAACTGACATACAGTAGATTCAAGAGATCTCAAATAATGGAATTCCTTAGGCAAAATCAAAGTTCAGCAAAATAAAACACCAGGAAATGGGTATTTGAAAGGGGGTGAGGTGAGATCTAGGGGAAAGAGATGGACAAATGAAGAGAAGAGCTGGGGCAGGGGGATGCAGTCAAGAATCCAATGTAGCCAGGCACCAGTGGCTCACGCCTGTAATCCTAGCTACTCAGGAGGCTGAGATCTGAGGATCACGGTTCAAAGCCAGCCTGGGCAAGAAACTCCATGAGACTCTTATCTCCAATTAACCACCAGAAAATCGGAAATGGCACTGTGGCTCAAGTGGTAGAGCACTTGCCTTGAACTGAAGAGCTTAGTGGGTCAGCGCCCAGGCCCAGAGTTCAAGATCCACAACCAACAAAAAAAAAAAAAAAAGAATCCAATGTATATCCTACAAAATTAAGAAGAGGGAGGGAAGAGGTGGGGATGGGATGGATGAGAAGATAATTATATTCATAAACTGCTTTGTTAAATGGCAACTCCTTTGTACAACTACTTAAAGATAATTATAACAAGAGAGACTTTCACGTGTTTGAGGCCGAGAGAAGGATTCAGCTGAGTAAAGGCTGAATATATGAGACGCGAGAGGAAAGGCAAGAGAATAAGGCACCAAGAGAGCAAGCGAGGACAGGATCCAATGCTCAGAAAGGAAAGTGGATGGGAACAAAGGTGGAGGGAGAGGCGAAAGGGCAGAGATGAGGCAGGTCGGGAGAGGCTGACCCAGTGGAGGTGATGCCCCTGGGAACCCTGGGAGCTCTGAGCCTGCGGAGACCACCGCCCTCCCCTTCCTCAACACCCTGGGGAAGTGGGATGAGCCCCCATGACCCTAGAGCAGACCCACACAGGGGCAGGGGACCCTCCCCATGTGGTGAGGTGGGCAGTGACCCAACCAGATGCCAGAACCTGAGACCCCCCCAAAGGAGGGGGACCCCTCCCGTAAGCACTATAAGTGGGCCCCGCTTCTCACTCTCTTACACTGAAGAGCCTGTTGATTCTCTTCCTCCTTTTCCTCCTCTTCCTCCCCCTCTTCTTCTTTCTTCTCCTCCTTTCTTCCTCCTCCTCTTCACCCTCCTGTTCCCCGTTCTCTTCCCCTCCCCCCAAGCATGTGGACAAGCCCTCAGATGGCAGCCCTCCCTGCTTGGAGAGCTGGTTGGGAGCCTGTACCACTCAGCAGTAGCTGAGAGGCTTTCTTCCCTCACTTCCCCTGTCTCCTTCCACGTTCAAAGAAGCTTTGCCTCTGCTCCCACTTGCCCTGCCTGGGAATTCTACATGTGGAGGGACAAAAGGGCCCCACACTCTTAGACAGCCTCAAGGTCAATTTTGGAATTAGGAGGATAAGGAATTCCAACCTGCCATTTTCCCTTTCTCTCCTGCTCCCTTTGCTGGCTGCAGTAAGAAAGGAAAGTTCCTTGTGGACGAGGGGTGTTTGCAAAGGCTGGAGAAGCTGTGGACTGGTGACGGAGAAGGATAGACCTGAGCCCCAGCATGTGGATGGCAGGGCTGAGGATCAGGCTGTGTGCCTGGCTCCTGGGAGCACAGTGGTTGGGGAGAGGGGTGAAGGTGCACAGCGGGGCTCATCTGGGTTGACTCCCAGAATCCCAGAGCTTCCAGGAAGCGCTGCGGTGACAAACAGAGGTCAGGCCGCTGGCTGGAAACACACCCAGCGGCATCACCCGTCAGTGGCTGAGCTGGAGGGGCCTCTGCTCTTCCGGCCGCGCCTTTGGGCTCTCTTAAGTCCACGGTTCTGGGCGGTGGGAGAGGAAGGGCTCTGCCCTCGGAGGACAGGAGGAGAGCAGGGCTCACTCCTGTCAGCTGCCTTCCTCCTGAGGTAACTCCCAATTCCCGCAGCAGGACCCTGCAGTAGTTCCAGTCCCCTCCACCCAGAGCCAGCACAGGATCTTGGAGCACACTGAAAATACGGAGCCGACCCAGAGTCCGGCCTGGAAGAACGGCCCTGAACTCAGCCTGGCTGCCTTCTGTGAGCCAGGGGCTCTCTGGGTTTGAAGGAAAGTCAAACCCAGGCAAAAGCAGCCCCTGGGCAGGCTGGGTTCTGCTTGACCGTGAGCTGAAGGTTGCAAGGTCATTCCCTTTTAACACACGCAAAGCTCCATGCCTCCCATGTCACAAAAGCAGAAAACTGGGAGCTACCTGGAACCACAGCTATCCTTCCAAATAATAATGGTGACGAATGGAGAGGGGAAAGGTGGGAAAATGCAGTCATTATATTCAATGTACATAGGTGAAAATAAAGCCATGTGACTTGAAGGTATGGTTAGGGCTGGGAAAAATAGGGAAGAATGATGGAGTAGTAACGTGGAGCAAGATGCATTGTACTTACAAACATGTGTGTTGAATTAAAACTCCTTGATACGACTATTTAAAGGAATTTTAAAAACTAACAATAAGCTAGGCGCCAGCTACTCAGGAGGCTGAGATCTGAGATTCCCAGTTCGAAGCCAGCCCAGGCAGAAAAGTCCCCGTGAGACTCTTATCTCCAATTAACCACTTAAAAACCAGAAGTGGTGCTGTGGCTCAAGTAGTAGAGTGCTAGCTTTAACCACAAAGAGGTTCAGGGACAGCCCTGAGTTTAAGCCCCACAACCAACGATCGATCGATAGATAGATAGATAGATAGATAGATAGATAGATAGATAGATCGATCGATCTTGAGAAGAACACACAGAGCCATGAAAAACTGTTCACAATAAAGTGTGTCAAAACCAGCCTTGAAGTACAGTGAGGCTTTCTCCAGAAATACCATGTCTAAGTTCTACTGTCGTGTCCTAATTTCTCTCACAAGGCAACTGTCTATCCCTGTCCTTGCCTTTCAACCAAGTTTTATGTTTCTGGTTTGGCTAGTTTTGCTCTGAATGCTGGGAGTGAGACGCAGGGCTCTGGATTCGAGGCTGATGCCCTAATGCTGAGCTGTACCCCCAGCCCATCTGATATCCTCATGGCCACACGACCCATGTCAGGACTATTAGGACAAGACTCACGTGTCTCAAGCCTCCAGAAAATAAAGTGTTGGGTGTTGGACTCGAGGGAGGAGTCTCCTGCTTCAAAACAGGGCTGGTCGAGTGTTTCAGATCTTCTTGATGGAAAGGTTTCAGAATAGCTGGTGCACTGGCCTTCTGCAGAGGAAAGAGCAGAATTTCTATTACAGTCTACTTCCCCATCTGACTTCGCTCCAATATGGCAACTCTAGCCGGGCGCTGGTGGCTCACGCCTGTCATCCTAGCTACTCAGGAGGCTGAGAACTGAGGATCACAGTTCAAAGCCAGCCCGGGCAGGAAAGTCTGTGAGACTCTTATCTCCAATAAACCACCAGAAAACCGGAAGTGGTGCTGTGGCTGAAGTGGTAGAGTGCTCACCTTGAGCTGAAGAGCTGAGGGACAATGCCCAGAGTTTAAGCCTCACAACCGGCAAAAACAAAAAAAAAAGGTGACCCCAGCAGGCACTGACATGTAGAAAGGGAGATGTGAACCCACACACCCCTAGGGCTTGGAGGCAGACATCAACCAAACTTATATTCAAGAACATGATGGGTTAGATTAACTATCTATTCATAAAAGTCTTAATGATCATATTTTAGCCTTCACCATGATAATGGCCATTTCCTCTCAGCTCTAAAATGCTCATAAAAATGGGAGGAAAATCAAAATTTACTTGGCTAAGAGTCCGCACTGCTGTTGTGTGTACCCCTGGGCTTTCCAACTACCGGCCGTGTGGGATGATTTGAACTCAAATTTACATTAATTGAAATAAAATGAAACTCAGCTCCTCGGCTGCACCGACTCATCTCATCGGGTTCTTTCAGGAGCCTGGTGCTGTGTCCGGCCGGGCCTGGCTCAGGAGGCGGGCAGAGGACGGAGATGAGACTCGCTACTTACTGCAGAGCGTGTGCACAGGTGCAGCAAGGCTTGGGCTCTCTCACACCTCGCCTAAAGGACAGTCTGGTCATCTTGAGTGGAGCCCACGGCTGCTGGGGGCTGCAGAGGTCCTGGCAGCTGACCAGAGTAACCATGACACCTGTCTAGACTGGCCACTTTGAATTCTCACCCTCTTTTCCATGGGCCTCAGAATAAGTGACTGTTAAGGTGTTTCTATGAAAGGAAAAGGACATCTACAGAGGAAACAGTCTGGAAGGCTCTGGAAAGACACAAAGGTGGTCAGGGCAGAGGCACCAGAGGACTTGGGGTACCCTGGAGGTGACATTGACGGCCGTGTCTGACTGGCTCCGTCTCTCCGTCTGGCTCACATCTGGCCTGGGGCACGTGGCTAGAAGGTGCTTCTCAGAAGTCACATCGTTCTGGGACTTGGAGAGTTCTAGAAGGCAAATAAGGGGGTGATAGCTGGGAGCTGAGCACGGCTGAGACCAAGGGGAGCCCTCTTCTGAATTCCCCGCCACCCGCGGGCCCCGTGGCTGGCAGGACCAGGCGGCGCAGGCTCAGGGTGCGGGTCCCCTGTGGGACAAGGAGACCACACAGGGTCTCGTGCTTTTAATCAACTTTTTAACTTCAGGTTAGAGATCTACCCTTTGCGCCACATCTCTACTTCCAGCCTTTTGTGGGTTTAATGGGAAATAAAAGGTCTCACGGATTTTCCTGTTCAGGTTCGCTTTGAACCCTGATCCTCATATCTCATCCTCCTGATAGGATTATGAGTGTGAGCCACCAGAGCCCAGCGAAAGCACCACATCTGGCTGCGAGACCTCAGGGATCCCAAGGCCCGCGTGCTGAGAGGCTTCCGTGAGGGACGGAGGCTCCAGGCCAGCCCTGTGTCTGGCTGAGACACTGCCACACGAACCTCTGTGCGATTGTGAGCTCTTGGGCCTGCCCAGCCTGGCAGCGGGGCTGTGCGCCTCCTCCTACGAATCCCTGACGTGCTTCCCCCGACAGTCACACAGCCCTGCCCCTCACGGCCGTCATCCAGAAACCTCTCCGGAATCTTTCTCTGACAGCAGCTAGAAAGGACTCACATCTGTCTTCAGCCTCCGCCAGGCTTAGACAGGCTGTGATGGGCTCTCGTTTCTGACTCTGGGGGAGACAGCATCCCTGACACATCTACTCAGGGCCTACTCCAAGGCCTGTGCCCATCTGGCCCCTATTCAAGTTCATAGCTAAAGGACCAGGGAGAACTTTCCTAAGTAATTTTGGTTCTGACATGCAGACGTGTGTCTGGGTACAATTAGGGAGAGAGAGAGAGAAAGGAACAGAAAGTAAGTTGGCTCGTTAAGAAGCAATGTCACTGGGCACAGGTGGCTCACAGTGGTCATCCTAGACACTCAGGAGGCTGAGATCTGAGGATTGTGGTTCAAAGCCAGCCTGGGCAGGAAAGTCCATGAGATTCTTATGTCCAATTAACCGCCAAAAAGCCAGAAGTAGAGTTGTGGCTCAAGTGGCAGAATGCCAGCCTCGAGTGAAAAAGCTCAGGGACAGCACCCAGGCCCTGCACCAGCAACAGGACGAGCACACAAACACAACACACAAAACAACAATGTCCTCTTGCTCTGCTGAGGCCCTCTCTGCTGCCTCTCCTACACGTGTGGGGCTGCAATCGCCTGTCTTCTTCCTCACTGCCCTGGGCGCCATCTGCAGCCAGCCGCGGCCATTCTTGGCCAGCTCTCTCAATCCTGGGAGACCAAGACCTTCCTGCACGAGGATCACTGGTCCTGGAATGGCCTAAGACCCTCTCCGCCAGTCCTCCCCACCCCCGCTTCCCCACGCAAGAAAATAGAAGACTTACTCAAAACCTGAGGAAACTGAAACTAGCACTAGTGCAGGGCCTCGTGCCCCTCCCGGGCGGCACGTGCCGCCCCTGCCTCTGGAGCACAGCTCCCAGGCTTCAGTTGACTTCCCTTGCCTGACGGAGATGCCGCTCTGCTTCTGGAGATCTCCAGCCACGTTCCACCCATGGCTGAGCGCTAGCTGTCCACACAGGTACTGGGCAGATGTGCAGAAGAGGCTGCAGGCTATCCCTTAAGTGCACCTTCGTGCACCCCTGTGTGTGTTCAGGGCCACGGGCCCAGGAAGGCAGTGCGCAGTGTGACCCCAGTGTCCCCTGCCTTTCTGACTGATCTCTGGGGCTGAGGGATCTCAGGGTGGGATGACTCCAAGGCACTGGCTCCACAGTATTCATGCAAGTGGGAAAGTCACACAGTGACTTGGATTGGAGGCGGGGCTGAGCATCTAGGAAGATGCAGAGAAACTCGGACTGGAACCAGGCTGTGGTGGGAAAGAGCCAGCTGCGCTGCATGACCCTGACATGGGCCACGACCCTGACAGGGACCGCAGGGAGGGAGGGGTGGATGGAGGACACTGTGACAGACAGGCCCAAGCCACACCCCCTGCTGAGAGACCGGACAGGCACTCACTGCTGCTGCTTAGCAGAAGAGCGGGGCTTGGATTTCAATTGTCCTCTTGTGACAGGGCTTGAATAGAATACAGACGACTAATTAAAATCAAACCTTGAGATTGTCTCAGAGCCAATACAGCAATGAGACCATCCACAGACACCTGCAGGGAAAAGGGTGAGAAACAGAAGCTCGGAGAGGAGAAATGGGTGCCCAGGATCCCTGGCTGCTTTTTATTATTTATATATCACATATGTATACATAGCATATATATGTATATATAGCATATTTGTATATATATGTTTATATTTCCCCGTAGGGCTTTTATTGATATGATAATTACATAAATGTTACTGATCCATCTTAAAATAGATCTCCCTAGAAAAAATTATATGTATATGCAGAAAAAATTACACAAAATTAATGCCTAAAGTTCAGATAATTAAGAATATCACTACATTAAAACACTATTTTGTTTAGGCTTTGGTAGAGATGACACAAGTAACATTAGTTTTAGAATAAGACTAATTGCTTAAATTACAGCAGTCTTCTATCTAATAGATATGCTTTTTTAGCTAACAAAATCTCTGCAGTTTAAATTATCTTTTGCCATTTAGAACAAAATTTCACAAATGACTGCAGAAACTCTAGCGATGTGCCCGCTACGCTGGCACAGGCCTACAATCTTCACATTTGGAAGGCTGAGACAGGAGGACCTCAAATTAGAGGTTGGCCTTGGCTACAAAATGAGACCCTGGAAGGAGAGAGAGACAGAGACAGAACAGAGACAAAGAGAATAGTGATGATGCATGCTAAGCTTTTCGTTCTATAAAATCTAAGATGCAATAAATTAAGCTACTGTTTAAGGACATTGTCTAAACGCCCGGCTAGCCTGATATCTTAGGCAGCATGAGAGAAATCTGTCCTCTGGGATTTGCATATTAATAGAAGGAGGAGGGAAAACACATCTCTGAGCAGAAAAGACACTGCAGCGAGCGCTGTGATTATTTGGATGTGCAGATGTCCTGCAAACAGAAGGACAGACATTGTACCAGGGAGGAGAAGAGAATGGACCAGAGCCCAACAGATATTGGGCTCCATGGAGCTCAAAATGTTCTGATTTCGGATGCACTGCAGTGTGTCTTTATGTTTTGTTGTTGGGCCTCTCGAGTCTAAATCTGCCAAGCTCCTTTGTTTGTGCTGCTCAGCTGGGCAGGTACAGGCAAGAGGAGGAGGAATCCAGCCAGTTGCAGGGCTGAACCGACATCCTCTCCCCCACAATGACCCAGAGGCTGCTCTGAGGGTGAAGACAGAGCAGCCTGGCTGCTGTGCTTCCCTGGGTCTCCAGGGACAGTCTGGCCCGAGGCCCCCTGGCTGCCCACACGGCTGGGAAGAACACCACTTACTTTTCATGTGGGTGGTAACAGACAGAAACAAATTTTCCACCGACTTATTAAATCCTCTAAACTGACCAAGTTCATGTAACTGAAACAGAAACAGGAGAGAGAACAAGTTAAACCACCTGCATTTGTCCCTTAGTCCCCAGGCTGCCCCTGCGGGTGTGGTGCTCAGGCTGTGCGAGTGTGAACGAATACAAGCGTCTCTACAGGCGGAGACAGCACAGCCCCCCAAGAGGGGGCGTCCTCTTCCTTCCTCTCTGCGTTTGGGCATCTTCTTTAAAGGGGGAGCACTATCAATGAGCTGTTCACAGATAACAACTGCCTCTTAGAGGTGAAAGGTTATACTCACATAAATTACTTGTTTAACCTTTTTACTTGTTTAACAGGTAAATTACTTGTTTAACCCATCCTGACTCCACAGACAAGAGTGCCAACATGGGCAGAAGGCAGATGACATGGGGCAGAGGGTGGGATAAAGCACAAGATGACCAGGGTGGAGATAGGAAACTCCATCTCCCACAGCAGGAAAAGAAACAACAGAAGGAGATCACTTCTTTCTCCAAGTCTCATTTGACCATGCATCCAACACTCCATCCATCTGCACATCTACTGTCCATCCATCCAACCACATGCTGACCACCCAACTATCCACCCACCCACGGCCAGTCCACTTACCCAGTATCTATCTACCATCCATCATTCACCATCCACCCATTATCAACCATCTACCCATCATTCACCATCCACCCATTATCAACCATCTGCCCATCATTCACCATCTATCCATCTGCTGTCCACTTATCCATAGATGATGACTAATCAACTACCCATCCACACGTTTTCTATCCATTTATCCATTACCCATCCACTGTCTATCTATCCACCCACAGTTACTTTGACCATCCACCTATCCATTCTCCCCTACACTGTCAATCCATCCAATATCCATCCAACCATCCATCTATCCCTCATCTGACACTGTCCATCTAGCTACTCAATAAATATGTCTCAAACACACCACCAGCTTTAGAGATTTTAAAATATCAAGGAGAAACTAGAGCAAGTAGGTCACCCCTGAGCCTCAGCTGGAAATTTAACACCTGGCACTTTACAGTTTCCAAGTACTCATGAGGAAATTGTTGTTTGACTTGTCACAATAGCCTCAAGAGACAAGGCAGACAAAATGAACTCTTTCCACCATTCAGGTTGGAAAAACAGGTGGCTCTTCCAAGACTGCACAGTTAATTTCTTTGGTCAGTAACGGTGATGTTCTACTTTATACAAGGACTCAAAAACACACAGAAGACACATCATCATTCCCAAGAGCACCCACACTCACACACACCTATATGCAACCTGTAAGGCTCTGCATACCTGCCTGCCAATCCAGACATTCAAGGCACATGAAGAGTTGAGAACCAGAGCTGATGACAGGAGTGAGGGGAAGAGGGCAGAAGATGGCCAGCTGACAATGCTCGCAGTACATTGCCACAGCCCAAGAGTGGAAGTGCTTCCCAATCTCCAACTGCGCCTTTGCTCTCTGCCTCCCGGGGAGTAAAAGTTAGATTCCTGGGCTCCGAGGCTGTTCGCCCAACTCTGTAACGTCCTTCCTCCCTTCCCTCCCTGGCTTCCCACCCAGAGGTGCACAAACAGACATGTTACCCTGCCAGGGTTGCCACAGCACTGGTTCTCACTGAGAGGTGGTGGAGTTGGAGGAACCACAGAAATTTTACTGCCAAAGAGAAACATAGGGGTAAGAAATGGGAACTAGGTAAGATACTAGTTTACAAATATACAGCTGTATCATTGTTATATTTCATCACATGCTGAAAAAGTAGTACCTGGAAGACGCTATTGATGATACTTTTATAAACCCATAGTAATCAGATATGTGAATTATTGCCAGCGTCAGGGCTGGTGGGCTTCAGCATTTTGGGCAGAGAGATGTTCACATCTCTCAGACCAATATTCGATACCAGAAATGTAGACCCTACAAATACCTAAGGTATTGGACACTGCGTAAGGTGTCAGAGATATTAATGATTAATAAATGATTGATTTAGAATGTCATAGAATTGCATACAAAAATAATGTCTCTCCTGGTGCCAGTGGCCTACACCTTTCATCCCAGCTACTCAGGGGGCTGAGATCTGAGGATCAAGGTTCAAAGTCAGACTGGGCAGAACAGTTTGTGTCTTAATCACCAAAAAAAGCCAGAAGTGGAACTGTGGCTCTAGTAGTAGAGCTCCAGCCTTGAATGAAAAGCTTGAATGAAAGGGACAGCACCCACACCCTGAGTTCAAACCCTAGGACTGACACAAAGAAAATTTCATTTCCTTAGAACATTTCAGGAAAATTTGAGAAACAAAATAGAACATGGAGTGAGAAAAATACTGGTAAGTAGAAAGTTTCTTATGAGACTCTGCAACCATCTCTGAATCTCTTGCAGGTGATTTAGCCCTTTAAAAAAAAAAAGAAAAGAAAAGAAGAAAAGAAAAAGAAAGAAGTTACATTCCAAAGCGCTGAGTTCTGTGAACCATAGATTGGTGAGTTCTTTCAGGGCGTCCTCTGGGCTCGGAGAGCCGGACGCCCCGTCCTTGCTAACACTCACCTCAGCCTCTGATAAGATCGCAGGAGCTTTGCCCCGACTGTCTCCCGTGTACCTGGAGGACAGATGGATAAAGGTCACTTCCCAGTGAGATCGAATCTGAGGTGACTCAAATACATGAAGCAGTCAGCGAAAATCATGTTCCCAGATCGCTTGTGACTAAAATAGAGATATTTCAGGGTGATAGAAATACTCAAAACTTAAGATTTTGGGCTCTCTATTTCCTGAAAATCACTGGTTTGTACGCTTAAGTGATAAATTATGAACAAATTCCACTAACCCTGTTGTTTATGTAATACAATATACACACAGAGATGACAAGGGTTAGAAATTACTATTAGGCTTTATTTTTAATCATTAAAAGTTGATGTGAGATTAAACCTGAGTAATTTGAACAAATCTCCAGGCTTTGATTCATCCTTTGGAAACATTTCATAATTCGCATGAATATGTTCTTCTAAATGCTCCTTGTGATGAAGATTAAAACAATCTCTTTAAAAATGTAATCAGCTTATTTCTACTTGACGTGGCTAATCATTTCCTAAATCAGACAGCACCTGACACATGACCCTTTTAGTTTCAAGGATAGAGGTTTGTTTGCAGTAGTTTTAAGACCTTGGAAATAAAACCCTGCCTGTCCTCAGTTCTTGAGCCCACAGGGTTTTCCTAGCCTGCACACAGCAGAGGCCAGGGCTCCTGCTCAAACAAGCTTCCAGAAGCCCAGACCCTGCCCTGGACACAGCCTGACTTACTAAGCCAACACGCGATGGGTAGGCTCGCTCTTGCTTCATCTGCCTAGGTTTTGCTTCATTCCACAGAAAGACCTAGTATTAGCATCATTTCCAAAGGACATTGGAGAGTATGACAATGAGCAGGCTATGGGGGAAGGGTGCACACCTAGCAGGAAGCCCCTGAGATCAGGCCCCAAAGCCCACTGCCCAGGGCAGCCCTGGTCCTCAGCCCTTCCCCACGCTGGCCTCAGGACAGGAAGCCTGGACACCCTGTCTGACACTGTGAGTCTACCTGCCTGAAGATGCATTTTCAGGGCTTCACAAGGGGGTCTCCTTGATTCTGAAGCCTCACCCCTTTCACACACACACACACACACACACACACACACACACACACACACACACACACACACACACACACACACAAATACTTCTCTAAGGCAGAAAAAAGGCCTCACCCAAAGCTGCGAGCTAAACTAGTAGAACAAGCTGAGAGGCAAGAAGACAGCGTTACAAAAAGTCAAGAGTCCCAGTGCACCCCAGTCCTGGGGTCAAGACAAAGGAAAGACAGTGAATTCTGGGGGCGAGCCCTGGGGTCTGGCTCCACGGGATCTCACGGGGCTTTGTTGTCATTTTTGTCCTGGACTGCCACAGCAGTGTCCCCTGAGACACAGCCATGGAAACCCGACCCTGCCGCGGCCCCGCCCTTCGCCCTTCGGGGCTCCCCACTGCCCTCTTGCTGCTGGAGCCCAGGCCCCACGTGGCGTGGCGCCCACAGGTCCTGCCCGCGCTCTCCACGCCCTGGTGGCCTTTGCCCTTTCCACCCCAGAGACACCAAATTGCTTCGTATTATCTCACTCACCTGGGTGTTACCTGGCCTCTGCTCCATAATTAATGTCTTCCCCACCTCTCCTCCTCCTCCATCCCCTCTCCCTCTCCCGAATTCCTACTTCAGGCCCCCATCTCAGACCCTCCACTAGAAAACCCCACCTGGTGCCTCCCCCTCCCCCATCCTCCTTCCTTCCTCCCTGCCTTTGACCCCTACAGGTGACCTTGCTGTTGCATGGCTCTTTGCTGCCCCCTTCTGGCTTGGCAGGCTGGGAGCGGTTCTTTCTGAAAAAGGCCACACAGAAAATGGCCCCACTCCTCCAAGGTCAAGGAGCGGCCTGGCTGGGCTCTGATCAGACTCTGCAGACTCTGCCATTTAACGTATCGGATATGTCTCAGATATAAATCGTTCACAACCATTTAAAATGCAAACACAAACACAAAATATTCATTCTTAGGTCACAAGATAAGAAAGGAAGCTGGGTGCTGGTGCACTTGCCTGTAATCTTAGCTACTTATGAAGCTGAGATCCAAGGATTGTGGTTCAAAGCCAGCCCAGGCAGGAAAGCCCACCTTAGCTCCAGCTAACCACCCCAAAGCTGGACATGGAGGTGGGATTCATGTGCTGGCCTTGAGCAGAAAAGCCAAGCAAGAGCACAAGGCCCCAAGTTCATACCCTAGTTCCTAGCACCAAAAAAAAGACATGAAGACAGGAAGTGGGGCATGGTGGTCCCCAGGGCTGAGTTTTGTTGAGAATCACCGGGCGAGGCTGGTCCTGTGGACACGCTGAGCTCTGTGAGCCCGTGAATCTCTGCTGTTTGAAGCCATGAACTAGCAAAGGTTCTTGCCATGTGTTGCTCACCCCAGCAAGCTACAACAGAGCCCCTCTGCAATGAACCCCAACCTTCCCATCCAGGGACACCTGCACGCCATCCTGGGGCCTGGTCGTGAGCCTCTCAGGTGCCCTGTGCCCCCTCCCCCTCCTCCCCACCCAGAGTTTCCTCCACCCACTCCCCTTCCCCAGTGCCTTCAAGGGGCTGTTCGCAGGGTCCCGGCCTGTCCTCACCACAGAATCATGTGGTGACCGAACACACTCACACCGACTGGACTGCAGGCAGCTGCGTGTCCGGCTCCCTTCTGCTCCCCTCCCTGGATGTGACACCTCTGAGGTTGTGGGCCACAACATCTATGTGTCACAGTGTCCTCCCTACCCAGAAGAGGGCTTGGCTAAAACAACACTGATAGTAATTAATACTATTTTTGTATATGTGCATGACCTGAACTCAGGGCCTCACACTCTCGTGGCTTTTGCATTCATGAGTGGTGCTCTACCACGTAAGCCATATCTCCAGTCTGGCATTTTGCTGATTAATGAAGATTCAGAGTCTCTTTCCATTTTCTATGTAGACTAGCTTTGAACTGCAATCCTCAGATCTCAGCCTCCTGAGGAGCTGGGATTACAGGCATGAGCCACCCATACCTGGCTAGCAACCAACAACAGTAAGCACAGCCTCATTTAAGCCATTCCACCAAGGCTGAGTTCTCTACGACTTAGCTCATATGCCACTTCATTTGTTCACATTAAGTGACTGTAATACACACAGGCTCTTCCACAGAGATAAGGATAAGAGAAACACAAGCTCTGCTCAAGGCTGGAGGTGGAAGAAGGTGCCACTCAAACCACTGAAGGGAGAGAGCAATCAACAGCTGGGCTTTTGTTCAAACCCAATCCAAATCACTAGACAGCTTCACATCATTTTTGCATCTAAAGACACAGGCACAGATCCACACAGTAGCTCTATGCCTGCAATACCAGTTAAAAGAGAGGCATAGGTAAGAAGGTCCTTTTTTCTTTAAAATAGTTTTTGTTATTCTTTTCCATTCCATTTTAATTATCTTTGGTGCCAAAACTGTGGCCCCCTTCTTGCTCCCTCACCTCTCTCTTCCCCTTCATCCTTTCCTCCCTTTCTCTCTCTTTTTTTTTCTTCCTTGGCACTAGTGCTTGAGCTCAGAGCCTTACACTCTTGCTCAGCTTTCTCGCTCAAGATTGGCACTCTACCACTTGAGCCACGCCTCTGCTTCTGGCATTTTGCTGGCTACTTGCAGGGAGATGAGTCTTGGATTTGTGTTCCATGCTGGTTCTGACCTGAGCATCTACCTCTGCCTCCTAAGTCACTAGGATTAGAGGCATGAGACACTGGTGCTCAGCTCAGAGTGCATTTTCAGTCTATTTTAGCCCTGGGAGACGTTCTGTGCTAACTCAGCCCTGAGGCTGAGCCCAGAGCTTGAGCTGAAAGACAACAGAGTGCTTGCTCCACTTAGAATACACAGTTCCTATTCCAGGAGGGAAAAAATGAACAAGGACAGATTTATAACCTGTATTCCTCATGCCCTGGCCTTCCCACGCCAGGCAGCCCTGGCTGCAGGCAGGGAAGTACCGTGTGGCCACCCCAGGGGCATCTCTCCAGGAGCTCTGTGGAAGGGGTGCAGTGCCTCTCTGGTCCTCTTTGGGAGCTGGGAGCTGAGAAAGGCTGCAGGGCTCACATCATGGAGCAGCCAGAGAGGTGTAGGTGGCCAGGACCCCAGGGGCAGCCCCTAAGGACCAGGCCTCCACCTGGGAGAGGAGTGAGCCTCCCTCTCTGTGCATGCCCATCAACCAGTTCTGGTGAGCACCGTGGCCACCGGGACTTTGCATAGCCATGGACACTGACTCTGCCCACTGCAATCCAAGATGGGCTCTCAAGTTCCTCCCTTCAGGGGCAACTTAAAGAAACTAATTGAAAATATAAATTAACAAGATAATAGTAGCTGTAAAGCTCCCCAGACTTAGAAGAGATGGACATCCAGCAGTGTAAAACCCAAAGAGGTTTTTCTGAAAGGCATTGTTTAGACCAAGCTGACTAAAGTTAAAGACAAACAGTTCTAAAAGCAGAATTTAAGAATGCCAAGTCACACACTAAGGAACTCCCTTGCAGGCCAGGAGAAAATAGGTTGGTAAAGTCAAAGTATCAAAAGAAAAAAATGCTATTCAAACATTCTATACCCAGCAAAACTATCCTTCCAAAATGGGGAAAAAAAACAAAAACAAAAACAAAAAACAAAGCCTTTCTTAGACAGGCAGGAACTAAGGGAATTCATCACCACAGATAGACCTTATGAAAAACACTTAAGGGAGGCCTATAAAGAACAGACTTATGCACTTCTACCAGACCAGCTAGGCAAGAGAGAGAAACAAAAGGGAAGGAAGAAGCTGAACTATCCCTCTTTACAAAGAATTGGATGTTAAAGCTAAAAATTCCATAAACACACACACAGACACACACCTTATTAGAATGAATTCAGTAAAGTTGCAGGAAATAAAGTCAATATACAAAGAACTCTACGCTGAGAACAATAAAACATGGGTGAAAGAAATAAGAAAACACGGAAGTGGCACTGTAGCTCAAGTGGTAGAGTGCTCGCCTTGAGCTGAAGAGCTGAGGGACAGCGCCCAGGCCCAGAGTTCAAGCCCCACGACCGAAAAAAAAAAAAAAAAAAAAAGAAAAGAAATAAGAAAACACATGCAAAATGAAGGGCTTCACACACTCGTGAACTGGAAGAATGAATACTATTATCTTTCCTGCAAAGCAAGCCACAGATTCAACGCCATTCCTACTAAAATACAGCAACGGTCTTCACAGAAAGAGAAAACAAAATCCTAAAACTTGTACAGAACACAATAGACTCTGAACAGCCAAAGCAACAATGAACAAAACAAACCAAGATGAAGACATCACAACACTTGACAAGTCTAACAGTAACACAGACAATCCGGTCTTGGCATAAAAACATACAGATCAATAAAGCAGCAGAGAGAACCTAGAAATAAATCTGTACATTTATAGCCATCTAATTTTAATAGTGGCACCAAGACTATATGCTGGAGACAAAACTTCTTTAAATAAAAGATGCAGGGAAATCCCACACACAGAAGAAGGAAACTAGACTCCTGCCTCTCACCAAATGAGAAAAGTGAACCCAATATGGTTCAATGACTTAAATGTTATACTTGAAACTAAGAAACTACTAGAAGAAAACAGAGAAAATGAAATATTAGTCTGGACAAAGATTTTTTTTTTGCATATCACCCCTAAAGCACAGGTAACAAAAGCAAAAGGAAAAAAGAAAAGTGGGATCATATTGATTACAATGTTTCTTCATAGCATACTAAATAATCAGCAGAGTTCAAATACAACCTACAGAATGGGAGCCCTGTGTCCTCAGCAACTTGACTTCATTTCATTCACGAGGCTGAGTGTCCTCAAAATTCCTGTGATCTGATGGGCTATACCATGCTGCCCATATAAGAAGATAAAACTCTGAAAAATTGGCCCTGGAAGGGGGCAAAGTTATTTTCCATCATAATAATCATCATCATAGATAATGATCCTAGGTAGGTGTACCATGGATCACTGAGAGAATGAGTGGGAGCTATGTTAAGATTTGGTCTTCCTAGATTGTTTTATTTCCCCAATAATTACTGGTAGGGTGAAAGCCTGAGTAACTGGCTTGCATGATGCATTTAACCGTGTTTAAACCTGAAAGGTGTTAGTACTGAAAACTGTCAGCTGTCTGATTTTTAAGCTTGAATAGCTGGCAATAAAACTGTAAAAGAAAAAGAGAGAAAGGAAGGAAGGGAGGGAGGAAGGAATGGAGGGAGGGAGGGAGGGAGAGGAATGGCGAAAAAGAAAAAGTAAAATATGTGCATTTATTGTAATGAACCAACAGAGGGCACAATATTATATCCTTAGCAGGTGCCAAAAAAAATGAACATTTCTAGTTCCAGTTTTCTAGTTATTAGAAACCTAAAATAACACACAGCATAACTGCTCATTAATCTGACTTCCTCATCTATAGTTCTCCAATTTAGAGTGCATTTTAAAACACTCCTAGAGGGACCTGTTGGACATTGCCTCGTGGACTGTCCACGCCTTGCGGAGTCAAGGCCTCTGAGTGCAAGCCCGGGAAGGTTTGGGGCTTCCTGACACTTGGGGGTCCTGCGAAGGTCCAGTGCAGCACAGAGAAACTCCCACTACAGCATATAAAGAAAATGCATAATTAAGCTCCTTAGAAAAAAAAAATCCAGTATATAATCAGTAAAATAATCAGTAGATTATTTTGTGCCCTCTCCTTGCAAAGTGGAAACTCCTCGGGCTCATTTTTGCTTTTTCTCAAATGTTTATAATGGTTGGGAAATTAACACAGTAAACAGTGCCACAATGAAGCGTTCTATCAGTGTAATCCTTACTACTCTGGAGTCTGAGATCTGAGGATCAAAATTCAAAGTCAGCCTGGGCAGGAAAGTCTACGAGACTCTTACCTCCAGTTAACCAGCAAAAGGCCAGAAGTGGAGGTGTGATTCAGTTGGTAGAGTTTCAGTCTTGAGCAGAAAAAGCCAAACAAGAGTACAAGAGCAAGCCCTAGTACTGACACATACATATAAAAATAGTGCCACAATTAATGTCTATGATTCTTTCCTGAATTATTATTTATCTCTGTCTACTTTCAGGGAGATTCTGGAAACATTTATCTACAATAGCACATATCTAGGAGGACTATTAAAAGAGAAATAGGAGAAGCAATAAAAAGGAAGTTGACAAGTGGTAGAGCGCTGGCCTTGAGCTGAAGAGCTGAGGGACAGCGCCAGGCCCAGAGCTCAGGCCCCACGACCAGACCCAAAAAAAAAAAAAAAAGTTGAGTGATGAGAACAGAATGGCTGCTGGGATTACTTCAATCAACATTAAGCTCCTCTCCAGGAGAAGGGTCTCGCTTGGCGTGTGTAGCGTAGTCACTCAGTGTAAACCTGACCAGCGCTCCTGCCAGGGAGCCCTGAAAAGAGGTAGCAACGTGCTTGCCTCTATCTGCTGTCTGGGCGCCATGTTTTCTTCCAGATTTCAAATGAGCTTGGCTGAGAAGCGTCAGGTCCCGCTCCCCCACCCCATCAGAGGAGTCAGGAAAACCATCCAGGGGAGAATCTCACACCAGCCAAATCTGCAGCTCAACCGCCAGCGCTGTCCCTAAAGACGAGGCTCACACACACACTGACTAAGGTAGGGGCTTGATACAGCATCACGCGATGACTTCCAGGATGCTGAAACCCGTGCTTGTGGAAGGGGGGGGTCCTGAGAGGGGTGGGCAGACAAATGGGGAGAGGAAGCTGGGCGAGTGCTGTCCTGATATTCAATGTACATATGTGAAAATGGAGCCCGGTAACTTGAGGGGAGGGGGGGTTGGGGGAGGTGGGGGAGAACGTGGAAGGAGTGACGTGGATCAAGATGCATGTCATTTAAAACAGTAACAATAAAGACAGACCTCTTGTGTCCATATCTTGGGGTTCATTTCACTTAGCATCAACTTATATAGTCATCTGTACATGGTTTTTTGAGCTGTTCAGCTCATCTGATAAGATTATCCTATATGGATGCTAATTATTGCAAATAAGGGAAACCATGGGACCTAAATTTCTTTGGGACTGGGTAACTTCACTTAATATGATTTTTTCCAAGTCTTTCCATTTCCTAACAAATCGGGTGACACAAACTGACATGCTGCGTTGGACCTTCTTGCACAACTACTTCAAGATAACAGAATAATGATAACAAAGAAGATAGAAAGAAATGGTAAGGACCATCAAACACAAGGCTTTCCTTACCACCAGCTGATTTGGGGATAAGGTTAAATGGTCTATTTCTCTATTTTAACTATGACTAGCAAATGTGTTTCAAGTCACCCCATTTCCTCTGAGTCAGCCTGAGTTGTTTTTTGTGTTTGTTTGGTTTGGTTTTGTCTTTCATGGGGACTGAACTCTGGTACTGGGCGCTGTCCCTCAGCTCTTCACCTCAAGATAGCGCTCTACCCTTTGCACCACAGCGCCACTTCCAGCTTTTTCTGCTTATGTGGTGCTGAGGAATCGAACCCAGAGCCTCATACATACAAGGCAAGCGCTTCACCCCTGAGCCACCTTCCCAGGCCCTCCGCCTTTGTTTCCTCATCCTCTCCCATTAGGGATGAGGAGAGCCACCCCCTGGCGTGCTGCCTCCTCTTCAGGGTGACACAGCCGTGTCTGGGGTTTGTCATGCTTCCACACAGGCATCTGGGCGACCAAAGCACCATCTGTTCTCTCTATGGTTTAGTCTCAGCTTCCGATCACTTCGCCACGTCATGCTCAGACGTGAGTACCATAGCATATAACTTGTTAAGTTTAAAATTCCAAGGCCTTCACAGTTTAATCATGACCTGAAGGAACCGATGTTAGCCAATCGGCTTGTCTCTTGTTCTGCTTCCCAGTTCTCACCTTACAAAACCAACTGTCCTGCTCTTCGCAGGGAGGCAGAGTCTCATTTGATTTGTGTGGAGGAAGCTACCCCAAGTCCCAGATCACAGTGAAAGCCAATTAAATCTAGGATTAAATGTGTTGTCTAAATTCATCTTTTGACAATTCTAAGCCCATAAGGCATTTTAAAAATAAAGCCTCAGCACCAAATACATTAAAACTAGGAATCACATTACTTTTGTAAAGGTTTTAAGAGCACTTACCTTCAGTTGGAAATTTCTTGGCTCGTTCCTCGAAGAACCACTCTCCAGTTTTTATTTTCACATTTCTGAGAAGCAAGCAGAAAAGAAGCCTCAGACAGAGGCTTTGTATTTGGTTCCAAGAGATGTGGAGGTTATATCACAAAATACTAGTCTTACACAGGACCAAACTTTTCTGCACAGATTCCCCAAAGTTCCAGAGTCTCCTGGGCCAGCATATTTTACCCTGCACACAACGCATATATGTGAATGCAAGCCTATTGGTAGATGCTTGTACCCAAAATATCAAGTTTTAATATTCCTGAATAAATACAAAAAGCAAAAACAAAGTTGTCACAAAATGACCAATTTACCACATTCACAGTGGAAACCAAGGGCATGAGGGAAAAGCTCAGATTTCCCTCAGAAAATGACCTTTAAGTTAATTTTAGTTTGTGTTTGCCAGAATATTTACCACGAGCCAACAGAGCAGACCAAACTGAGCTGGCTCGTGGGAGGACCTTGAGCCTGGAGTCTGGGGCTGATCTTCTGCGATGGAGATCCGAGGATGGGGCCCGAGGGGACCTGACTCAAAGCCTAGGCACGCACAGGGCCCTTCATAACCGGAAACCGAGGCACCCGTGTGTTTCACTCCCCATGGTTTCTACATTTCTACATCTCCAAGAACCTCAAAAAAATGTAAACTTCTTAATGTCCTTTTAGGATATCAAAGGGAAATTTCCACAAATATTATAAACTGTACCCTTAAAATAGTGTACCATATGAAAGCCGGGCCACTGGTGGCTCATGCTTGAAATCCTAGCCACATTGGAGGCTGAGAGGTGAGAATCACAGTTCAAAGCCAGCTTGGGCAGGAAAGCCTGTGAGACTCTTAGCTCTAATTAATCACAGAAAAATCTGGAAGTGGTGCTGTGGCTCAAGTGGTAGAGCATTAGCTTTGAGCAAAAAGTTGCTTAGGGACAGTGCCCAAGCCCAGAGTTTGAGCCCCAGGACCAGCAAAAAAAAAATAGTGTACCATAGGAACCACAGGTGCTTGTCCTGAGTAAAGCCCTGGGTTTAATCCCTAGTGAAAACAATCAGCCAATGTTTAGCGACATTAACTGCAAAAACACCAGACAAAGCAGCTTGCAAAGCTGAAAGCAACGTGACTTGTCTGTACGCGTTTGCCCAGCTGCTAGGTAAATCCCGGTTAAATGTCCTTCTCTGGTGGTTCCTGTCTGTAATCCTAGCTAATCAGGATGCTGACTTCCGAGGATCAAGATTCACAGCAAGCCCAGGCAGAAAGCTCCATGAGACTCCTATCTCCAGTTAACCAGCAAAGAGCCAGAAGTGGAAGTATGGCTCAAGTGATTGATCACTGTCTTGAGTGAAAAAGCCAAGTGAGAGCTAGAGGCCTGGAGTTCAAGGCCCAGTACCAGCACCAAATAAGCAAGACCTGTGTGCAATATAGTTGAAAACCTCATTACTCCAGCTAATCCTGCAGCGAAGATAGCAAGCTGCGAGACAGCTTCCAGGAGAATAAAATCGTGAGGTTTGTCATAAGGTCAGCTGATCTGATTTCAATGTTCTTACAGGAAATAAAAAGACTGATTGATGAGATAAGCTCCTAGGCTATGAGAGGAATCAGAGGATCAAGATGAAGATAGAGAGATGTTTATCAAACTTCTAACAACACTTCTTGCAAAATATTAACTGTCCCCCTCTACACAGCCTCAGAAAAACAGCAGGCATCCCCTCTGACACATCTGTGCCAGCACAGCCCCAGGGGCTGCGGCCGAGAGTGAATGGATATCTTCCCCCTACCAGCATGTTAAAGAGGGATCCAAGATGCATGGCGTCCAGGGCAGAGTGTAATGTATGCCACGCCCTCCAGGGACATAGAGCTGGGGGTTGGGCACCCAGACACCAAGCAGAACTGTACTGAGAGGAGAAGCAGGGGTTCAGAGAGGGGCTCACCCTGGTGAGCTCGCAGCCCATAGTAAGCATTAAAATGATATGGATAAAACATTGTATAGGACAGAACACTAAGGCCCCTGAGCCATCTGCAGTCCAGTGGTCGCAAGATAGAGGCCGTGATTCTCAGTGTGGAACATCTAACTAGGCAATGAGCTAAAGGACAACTCAATGCAACCTTGTTTAAGGCCCTGACTCAGAAAATGGGCAGGGCCCCATGTATCAACCTATAGATCTAAGCTGAGGCCATGAGAAAGACACAGGGCAGGAAACACAGCCCTACCCTGGAGGCTGGGGAGACGAGCCAAGAGCACCTGGCAACAGACCATCTGCAGGATACACCTAATGGGCAGGACTCAAGGAGCCGCCACTCAGCCAGCATCACTATGGCAACCAGAGGGAACTCCCAAGAAGTAGCCCATGTTCACAGACATGGCAGACCTGCTTCTGTGAAAAAGAACCAGAAAGATCTTAAGAAAAATGCAGGCCAGCATGAAGAAATGGGACAGAATAAAGAAAGATTTAAGAAACCATCCACACCGAAGCAGTGAATTCTGTGTTGCCACAGTGAAGGGGAAAACAGTCTGGAAGGTTCAGAGTGAGCAAAGAAAAAAAGCCATGAAATAATAAGGGAGAAGGCAGTACAAACAGAGGCCAAGGCCAGCTCGCTCATGCACAGTTCTTCGCTAAGCAGCCAGGACAAGTGACACTCAAGAATAACTGGATGTAACTGAAGAAGATGTTAGGCAAACTCAAGGGGCTGAACGATCTGCTCCAAGTAATTTTCTTTATTTCATAAAGATCAGTGTGACGTGACTTCTCCCACACAGATATTAGAAACTGTTTTTAATGACAGTAACACAGTAGTGCATAAAATCCAGATGATAAAAAATTTAAAAATAGTCTTAGATGACTCTATGTAATACCAAATTTCAAAAGACAAGGATGTATTTGTTGAATTTCTTTTCTTTTTGGAAATGCTGGAATTTGAACCCAAAGCCTTGAGTTTGCTAGGCTAGTGCTCAACCACTCAAGCCATTCCTCTAGCCCTGTTTCAAGACAGGATCACATGATCTTTTCTGCCTAAGCTGGCCTTCATCCACAATTCATCCTTGACTTTCAGCTAAGATTACAGGCATGAGCCACTGGATTGGCTCTCTATTGAATTTCTTAATTAAACGTTGGGACCTAGGACTAAAAACAAACTCAGTGAGGTTATTATTGCAGGGAAAGCCACTGGAAAGGGCTCACAAATAACACAATGGCTCCAAAAGCATGGCATCCATGTGGCCTTGTCAGGAAAATATCCTGCAGGAGGTATTTTCATTAATTGAGAAATAAATTGCAGTCAAGAAATTATAGGCTGAGAAATCATGGATCGGCAATAAGCCCTGGAGTTGGCTAAAATGTAGAGTTAGTTTAATAAATTAATTTCTATTAATAAATATAAAACAAAACAGGTATTAAAATGTGGCAGGAGATGCCCTATAACATGGCAGGTGCAAAGGGTAAGATTGGCCAAATGGATGCAATCAGGAATCCAATATTGTCACTAGGACTGCCACACATCAGACTCTTCCCTGCGCCCCTCCAAGGGCCATGTGTACACTGCTTGTGTTTTACCAGGGACCCAGAACCCCACCCAGGCTCCCACAGCCAATCACCACTCAGGAGCTGTCTCTAACATCCACTTGCCTGTCTCTGTTCTTCCAAAGCAGCCAGCTATCTCCACCTGACAAATGCCATCAGTGCAGAACTCCTCAGCTGATTTACACACTCAGCTGACACCTTGGATTCCTTTTGGGATTCTTGCTTGCCAAACCCAATGGCTTGTCTCCATTCATTCACTGGATAAAGAAATTCCCTAACATCGTCCACAGCTCCAACACATAAAGAGCTATAGAACCAAGTCTCCTAATCTCTCTTTGCCAAACACACTCCTGGCCTCACCCCTAACGCAAAATGGAGGTAAAGATTTTCTTCCTCTGAGCAGGCTCCTTGCCTGACCAGGCCCAACCACATCCCAAGATTTCAGCCATGACTTTCCAAAGCAGTTAGGAAGCCCAAGTGGAAGTATGGCTCAAGTGGTAGAGTGCCAGCCTTGAGCAAAAAAGCCAACTGAATGGTCCTGAGTTCAAGCTCCAGTACCTGATCAAAACCAAACTAAAACAAGGGAGAAGCAAAGGTATCATAAGCAGCATCAATATCCTTCACTAGGTCCCAGAATATAAGAGGGAAGAAGTCTAAACTTCCTTGTTGGGTTCTCAAATTGTATGGTGGCCAAGAGGGGCCAAAGCTAGAGAGAAGGCAAGCATGGTGAAGAGACAGAAAGCATACGTTGTTATAGACTAAACTCTCTCCCCACACAGCTTCCGGTGTTAATTCACTCACAGTAGCCATTGCAATTGCCTTAAGCATTTTGAAAAACATCCTTATTTCAAAATAAGGAAGCTGGGGCTTTAAAAATGATCCTCAGTGTACTTAGAAGGTCAAGTTACAACCCCACTGCCCTCCCACACAGAGCCCTTGAGGTGGGGATTGCAACAGCCCAGCTTCCTTGGAGATTGCTTCCGCCCCTTCTCCTGTTTTGATGTTTACTTTACAGTTAACTCTTAGGCGAAGAAGGCAACTAGGGAATAACTTAAGGCCTTTATGGTATGGTTTCTCATGAGATTTCAAATCTAGGCAGTTGATAGAATAGGGAAAAAAAGTCTGCAGACCTTTCTAGAAATAGTTTAGAATCATGATCAGCTCTCTGGAGAGTCCTGGCCGGCATCAGCGCTATGTGGTCAGGGCAGCTCACGCTACTGCTTTGGTCTTTGCTCTCAAGCTTACCAAGGTCTGAAGGGCACAGGCTCCAGAAAACCAGAGAAACAAGGGTAACCGATCCGTCACTGCAGCGAAACGAAGGACAGAGAGAGCAGGCACAGCCACTTTTCTGGCTGAACAAATGAACTGCAGTAAGCCCTTCAAAGGGGCAGGAACCTACGTGGATGAATGCCAAGGTCTCCAAGAAAGCAGCCCTCCAGGGTTTGGAGGAGAGGTGCCAGCACCAGACCTGCAGGGGGAACCTCTCCATCCTGCCCCTGAGCCCTGACACCTCTCCAGCAACACTGAGAAGCTGCTTCCAGGTCTCCGAGAATCGATTCCCAAGTCAAATGTGCCTTGTGTTCTTCCTCCCTTCTGCTAAGTTCTGTGATGGTCTCCTCCATGTACACTCCCCCCCCCCCAACCAACAGAAATCTACCACCATTCTTGCTTTGAACAATGAGCATTCAAGTCAAATATGTGCCTTCGTTTCAAACTCAGTACTTTGAAGACATCAGTTCTGTGTTTAAATGAGTTTAACAATTTCACCACTGAAAGGTTCAAAGAAATGTCAGTTTGGTAAATGGAAGGTGTCATTTCTGCACTGAGTGTTCAGCTTAGGCCGGCTGTGTTTGGCTTCCTACCTCCTGGCCTCCAGCCCTGCACTTTTACTGAAGCAGGTATATGAAGGTCTAAGAAAACCAAGGCATTGGTTAAGAGACCCACATGAACCTACATTCCAGAGTTAAGTGCATCATCAGCCATTACAAAGCAGGAAACTGAAACATGCTTTTATATACTAAAAATTATTTAGAAAAAAAATAAAAGGAAGAAAGGGAACTCTACCTTAGGCACTTGATCAGATTTGAGGAGAGCTGGCTTTGTCAAAAATTTTCTAAGAGAGCTGGGCGCTGGTGGTTCATGCCTGTAATCCTAGCTACTCAGGAGGCTGAGATCTGCAATCACCATTCAAAGCCAGCCTGGGCAGGAAAGTCCATGAGACTCTTCTCTCCAATAAACCACACCCGCCAAATTGAAGTGGAGCTGTGGCTCAAATGGTAGAGCTGTAGCCTTGAACACAAGTTGCTCAAGGACAGTGCCTAGGTCCTGAGTTCAAGCCATAGAATTCACATTCACACACACACACACACACACACACTGAGTTTTCTAACAGATACCTAGAAACTGCTTTTGCTGGAAAACACTGACTTCTTTACTTGGGCTATGAATTAAATAGGAACAAGATAAAGACTCAGCATCCCAGCCTTTGCAATGAGGTTTGTTCTCTCTCCAATCTCTCTCTCCTGTCTCTCCTCTGTCTCTGTCTCTCTCTGTCTCTCTCCTGTCTATCTCTTTCTTGTCTGTCTCTGTTTCTGTCTCCCTGTCTCTCCCCCACCCTTCCCTCCCACCTCCTTACCCCTGTAACCACCCTGGGCTCCAGGAAGGAGAGAACCATCTAGAAATACCTTCACAAAGGAAAGAAAGCAGAGCCTGCACAGTGCCGAGCAGCTGCCAGGCAGCAATGACTCTCGGTGGTAACCAGGCCCTGCCAGGCAGACCTGGGATAGGCCGGCCCCAGACGGCCTGTGCCCGCTCCTCTCGCCGCTGGAGCATCTGTGACAGGGACTGATGGATGATTACGCCTCTCTCCCCTTGCTCCGCCATCTCCTTTCAGTCAAACGGAAGGCTCTGAGTGTGGACACAGCAGCACACTTCCGCTTCCACCTGCCACATGCCGGAAGTGGGGCAAACCCCTCACCTGGCCAGCGCACCTCCCCTGGGCCCCCTGGGGTGAGTGGAGGCCCGGTCCCCCAAGCCTTCACCTGTGCTCCAGGCACACGGTGCACCCCCAGACGCTCAGCTGTTCCCCACATGGTGCACCCCAGACGCTCACCTGTCCTCCAGACACACGGTGCACCCCCAGACCCTCACCTGTCCTCCAGACACATGGTGCACCCCCAGACCCTCACCTGTCCTCCAGGCACACGGTGCACCCCAGACCCTCACCTGTCCTCCACACGGTGCACCCCCAGACGCTCACCTGTCCTCCAGGCACACGGTGCACCCCCAGACGCTCACCTGTCCTCCAGGCACACGGTGCACCCCCAGACGCTCACCTGTCCTCCAGGCACACGGTGCACCCCCAGACTCTCACCTGTCCTCGAAGCACACGGTGCACCTCCAGGCCTGTGACGCCCGTGGGAACACGCGGCACGCGGCGCACACGCGGTGGCTGCAGCCCTGGCACGCGGCCCCGCGGTCCCGCAGCAGCCCCAGCGCGCGTGCGCACCGCGCGCAGCGCCTGCCCCGCTCCTCTGCGCTCAGGCCGGCCGCCCCGCTCCACCGCAGGCTCTGCAGGCGCGTCTTCAGTTTCCTGTGACCAGGGAACGGAAGGAGATGCGGTTGGATGGTGTGCTGGCCCAGGCCCACCACGGCGAGGCGGGGTCCCCTGGTCCCCACCCCGGGGGACCTGGCTGGCTCCAGTGTGTGCAGAGTGAGCTGCTCTTCTGTTCTGGGTTCTTCCCTTGTGCCCAGGAACAGTGAGAAGAGGAGGAGGAGGGGGAGGAGGAGGGGGAGGAAGGGGAGAGGAGGGGGAGGGGGAGGAGGGGGAGGAGGAGGAGGAAGGGAGGAGGGGGAGGGGGAGGGGGGAGGAGGGCAGCCCAGGGAGCACCCAGCCCGACGCAGGCACAGAAGATCCCCAGATCCCCAGATCCGCAGATCCGCAGCTCCGCAGCTACAGCGCACACCCCGCCGCTGCCCGGAGACACCCAGTCGAATTCTGTATTATAGTTTCTCATGGAAGAGAAGACACAAACACACTTCAAGTAATTTGGAATAACAAGGAAAGGGGGTTTTATGGGTTGTTTTCTTTTGCTTTGTGTTTAGAAAAACAAGATCGTATCTTCCAAAGGATCAGAAAATGTCCTCTGGCGTTGCTCAAGCCTTGGTTGTCCACATTTTTATTTTATGCGAGTTGTATTTTTGTTGGCAGATTCTGAAAGCGTTCTGCAAAACCAAACACATCCCGTTTGGTTGGTTTGTTGTTGGGTGCTGACAATGCTGGGCCTTTCACTCACCGCACAAGTGAGCTACAGCCTCACTCCATCCACTTCTTGAAACTCGTCTTTTCCATAGCAGAGGCTGGTGGCTCACATCTGTAATCCTAGTTACTCAGGAGGCTGAGATCTGAGGATCAAAATTCAAATCCAGCTCGGGCAGAAAAGTCCACGAGACTCTTATCTCCAATAAATCACCAAAAATGCTGGAAATGGAACCGTGGCTCAAGTGGTACAAAGCCAGCATTGAGCAAAAAAGCTAAGTAAGAGCATGAGGCCCTGAATGCAGTCATAATGTTCAAAACAGCTCATGAAACTAGGAAAACCACCAAGCTGCATTGTACTTATAAAGTGACATGCAAATGGTAACCTCTTTGTACAACTAAAGATAATTTTAAAAATAAAATAAATAGGGCTGGGAATGTGGCTTAGTGGTAGAGTGCTCGCCTAGCATGCATGAAGCCCTAGGTTCAATTCCTCAGTACCACATATACAGAAAAAGCCAGAAGTGGTGCCATGGCTCAAGTGGTAGAGTGCTGGCCTTGAGCAAAAGAAGCTCCCTGAGTTCAAGCCCCAGGACTGGCAAAAAAAAATATTATTATTGTTAATAAAATAAATAAATTTAACAACAAAAACAGACTGTGAGCTCAAGCCCCAGAATCGGCATGAATAAAAAAGGCAAATATGGGACTTGCCAGCTAACTACAGATTAAGCCTAGCACTGCCTTCAAGCGTTCACACACCAGCTAGCAGGAAAGAAAGTCCTATTGGCAAAGCAGTGAGAGAACGGGCTGAGCAGGTTCACGTGTTGTGTTTTTCCCTCATGCCAAAGGGGAAGGAAAGGTGAGCAAAGAAGAAAGACAGCAGTGGTGTTTCTAAGCCACCTTCTGGGCATTGAGATACCCCCAAAGGAAGGGCAGGAAAACTTAGAGCCCCAGGTCTTGACCCCCTTGTTGGGGGGCAGGGGAGCAGGAGGAGAACGGGACACCTCCAAAAGCCTGAGGGTTTCCCTCCAATTCCTCTCCCAAAGTGAGCAAATAGACAAACACACAAAAGCTGCCAATGAATGCAAGTAACAAGGGCAGGCTCCCTTCTTCCAGTCTTCTGAGTTTAGCTCTACTGCAGAAATAATTCCCACCCCAAGTCTCCATTCAGACCCTTCTCAGTCCAAAGCCAGCAGTGAGCAGAGGTAACAGCCAGCAAGCAGTGAAGAAGCCAAAATGCAGCCGCTCCAGAGAAAAAGCCACATCCCGTAGATCGGTACCTGCAGTGTACCCCGCTGAGGACAGCTCAGCCCACTGAAGAGGAGTGGGGGACAGCACACCTCTGAAGACAGCTTACCGCGTCCGCTCCTCCTCCATGCTCTGAACAGCCTGGTCTCGATAGAGGACTTGGAGAATGACCTCGCGCTCTAACTCCTTCAGGGACTCCAGATCTACCCAGTGGGCCATTTTTTTCCACCCACGTGGGAAGTGTTTCAGGGCCCTGCAGTCGAGCCCCAGTGCAGCTGGAACCCTGGGTCCTGGAAAGAGCCTCCCTCCGATTTCACTGGTGCCCGCGCTTGCTGTGGTTGCTTTGATTTCACTGGTGCCCGCGCGCTTGCTGTGGTTGCTTTGATCTCACTGGTGCCCGCGCGCTTGCTGTGGTTGTTTTTCCCCTTCTGCCGGTGTCACGCTCCTCCGGAGGAGCGGGCTAGCCGCGGTGCTCTGTCCTCAGAAGGCCTTTGCTTTCCGGCTCTGCCACCGCCTCTCACATCGGCCTGAGGCAAGAGTATATCTTTTCCTGAGATTTTGCCAGAGATCGTTACAAATCATGCATGGCTTCTAGCAGATAATTCCTGTGAAGCGGAAGTCATCGCCACATGGAAGAACTTCAGAAGTAGCAGAAAGAATGCTTGGCAATGCCTCCTTGAAAAAGCCTCCAGGTGAGCCCAGCATGGTTAAAAGCCCAACCTGATTAATACCTGCAGGAGAGAAATAAAATAGTATCAGTTTTCCCAGCTTGAGAACTTCACAGCTTTACAGAGATTAAAACAAACTGGTCTACAAGGTTAAATCTTTTTTTTTTTTTTTGGGGGGGGGTCCGGTCGTGGGGTCTGAACTCGGCCTGGGCGCTGTCCCTCAGCTCTTCAACTCAAGGCTAGCACTCTACCATTTGAGCCACAGCGCCATTTCTGACTTTTTTTTCCTGCTTATGTGGTGCTGAGGAATCGAACCCAGAGCCTCAAGCATGCAAGGCAAGCGCTCTACCACTGAGCCACCTTCCCAGCCCCTACACAGTTAAATCTTTACCTTTTCTTTGGTGATGATAATGTAAGTTTTTAAATTTCATAAAGGAAGGTTTGTTATATTCAAAACTTCCAAAAACATCTAAAACATGGATTTTCTTTTTTGATGTTGTTTGTTTTGTACCAGTACTGGGGTTTGAGCTCAGGGCTTGGGTACTGTCTCTGAGCTTTTAAGGTTAGCATTCTACCACTTAAGACACAGCTCTACTTCTGGCTTTTTAGTGATTACTTGGAGATAAAAGTTTCACTGACCTTTCCTGCCTGAGCTGGCTTCAAAGCATGATCCTCAAATTCCAGCCTCCAGAGTAGCAAGGATTACAGGCATAATCTAAAACATTACCGCTTTACCCCCAATTAGCCAGCCCTGAGCAAAAAGATAAATGAGAAAGAGAAGCCTTGAGTTCAAACCCGCACACTAGCACGTACAACACACACACACACACACAATTCTGTGTGATCAGGGATGTATGAAATAAGATCTGGGAGTAATCTAAAGATTTCCCTAGGGCTGGGAAGGTGGCTTAGTGGTAGAGCGCTTGCCTTGCATGCCTGAGGCCCTGGGTTCAATTCCTCAGCACCACATAAGCAAAAAGAAAAAAGCTGGAAGTGGCACTGTGGCTCAAGCGGTAGAGCGCTAGCCTTGAGCTGAAGAGCTGAGGGACAGCGCCCAGGCCCAGAGTTCAGGCCCCATGACCGGACCCAAAAAAAAAAAAAAAAAAAGATTTCCCTAGTTTCAAAATGCTATCCGTGTGAACAGTATTTTGAGATACACACAACACATAATACAGTGTGAAAATATCTGTGCTTTCTATTATGGACCAAATTGTAAGTCCTGCTCATTCTACTAGGTTTTTGCCATAATCTAAGGAAACGCTAAATTCTGGTTAAAAGCTAATGAACATAATCATGTACTATTTCCCCACCTAAATGCACGGGCCTGCCTTCTAAGGACTGAGGCTTAAGTGATTCCATATTTATTGGTTTATCTATCATAAGATAAAGCTGTGATATATTGCTTGCTCTAATTACAGAGATTCTGTGAACAGGAAAACTCAGAGTTCTGGAAAGGGATGACTTAGCATCTAGTCTCCAGTAAAATGCACTGAAGTTCCTACTCTCCAAAGACTTCCTGCAAAGACAGCCAGGAGCCAGGAGCCAGGAGCCTGAGCTCTGACCAGGGGGCCAGCACCTCTTGGTGCCACCAGGGGCAAAGTCTGGTGCCCTTTGATTCCAGTGTCCAGCTGAGCATGCAGGGCTTCATTTCCTGAGGCTCTGAGGTTCTGGCAAAGTGGAAAACAATCAAAGACAGCCAAGTCAAGTGGTCAGGAGCAAGTTTTCCATCTTTTCACTGCCTTTTAAACTTCACCCTCAGTTCTTCTTGTTCTCTTATTTCTACTCTACTAAACACACTTCTGGGTCACAAGCTATTGGCCATTTAAAGACTCTCAGGTACTTTGAATGAAGTCCTCCAAACATGGGTTGTGAGCCCTGTGGCTTTCTCTTCCTGTGGCTGTTGGAATTCTGGTCTCCAGCTCTTCATGAAGCTGGGTACGGTAAGAGTGATCCTGGGCTGATAATATCCGCACAGAGTGCTTCAACCAGAGGAACCTGGGAATCCTCCAAAGCTTGCTCATCAGATGTCTGGGCTTTCTGCATTCCAGAAACACAGGCTCCAACTGTCATGACAAAACACCCCTCAACACTCCCTCACTCCAGCCTATGGGCCAAGGAAGTGCCCTTTCCAGACAGAAGTGGGAGCTCAAGCTCCCCCTTGTGGACACAAACTTCCACTTACTGAAAAAAGAAATGAGTTTATTTTCCAGAACCATCCAGTCATCCAGCAAATATTTACTGAGCGCTTTTCAAGTGCCAGGCCTTGTTCTGTGTGCTTAGGGCATGGCACATGGCTTGACCAACTGTTTTGTTTTTTGTACTCTAATCTACTCCTAACAAAAATATACAGTAAAAGCACACAGAAATGGAAAAGTCAGAGAGACTCAGCTGTGGGAAAGAAAAGGGGGCAGATGGTTCTACCAGGAAGCTGGAGGGAAACAGTCACTATGCTTGAGCATTAAATAAATTCTGACTTCCTAGTAGCCACGGAGAAACAATCACAATGAAAAATCAAGATATACATAAAAATTGCAGAGCTTCTGCAGGGCAAATGACATAGCTAGCAAGATCAATAGAAAGCCCACGGATTGGGAGAAGATCTTTACTAGCCATACAACGGACAAGGGTCTCATATCTAAAATATACTTGGAACTCAAAAAATTAAACCCCCCAACAACAAATCCTCAAAGAAACAACTGCCCAATAAATAAGTGGGCTAAAGACTTAAAGAGAAACTTCTCTGATGAAGAAAGAAGGATGGCCAATAGACACATGAAGAAATGTTCAACATCCCTAGCCATAAAAGAAATGCAAATCAAAACAACATTGAGATATCACCTCACTCCAGTTAGAACGGCAAAAATCAAGAACTCTAACAACAACAGATGCTGGAGGGGCTGTGGACAGAAAGGAACCTTACTTCATTGTTGGTGGGAATGTAAACTTGTTCAACCACTTTGGAAAGCAGTATGGAGGTTCCTCAAAAGACTTCACATAGAACTCCCCTATGACCCAGCAATCCCACTTTTGGGCATTTACCCTAATGTTTACAAACAAGACCACACTAAAGCTACCAGCACAACTATGTTTATTGCAGCATTATTTACCAGAGCTAAGATATGGAACCAACCCAGATGCCCCTCAGTAGATGAATGGATCAAGAAAATGTGGTATATATACACAATGGAATTCTATGCCTCCATCAGAAAGAATGACATTGCCCCATTTGTTAGGAAATGGAAAAACTTGGAAAAAATTATATTAAGTGAAGTAAGCCAGGCCCAAAGAAATGTAGGTCCCACGGTTTCCCTTATTTGTAATATATAGTATATGTATGAGTCAAGCGGAAAAGGTCAGATAATGTGATGTCAGGAAAATGAACCCTTAGATGTGTATTTTAATGTTTTTTTCTTTCATGCATGTGTTTCTAACACATTTATAAGATTATCTCTTTGTTGCTTTGTATGTCCCTCCCCCACAGTATAACCCCTGCTTTCACTATATTTGATGTCAGTATAACTTGTGGAGGAGATGGGGGAAAACCAGTTGTTTAAGGATACAGGTGGACCTGTTGCAACAATGAGAAGTACAAGTTGTCATGTCCAAAACGAGCTTTACAACGTTGGTGCGGGGGGGGGGGGGGTGTGTGAAGGGGGGGAAGGAGAAGGATTGGGATTGGGGGGGGGAGGCTGGGAAGGGATGTGAAGGGTAAACAAAGGAGGAGGCTGCAATGCTTGGTAAGAAATGTACGCATTATCCTGCCCATGTAACTGTAACTCCTCTGTACAGTATGTTCACAAATAAAATTAAATTAAATTTAAAAAAAAAAAAAGATATACATAGTTGACAGTAAGAAATACAGCGCACCCTCAAGGTAGGAGGACTAAGAAAAATGTGCTCCCGGAATCACTACTGAACTGATTACAACGTAAAGCTAAGGAGATAGCATAAAATGGATTCATAAGGAGGTAAGATGGCAGGCTCACAACATGACCTGCTACAGAGCCCAGGCGGGCCTGCTTGTCATCAGTCTGCCTATTCTTCTCTTCCAGATGGCTCTCATAGCCATCTGAAGCTTGCTTCAACATCAAGTGGCTGGATGATAGAATGTCCACCCTTCTGTGGCCATTCCAGGGTGGACATCCCACAGGAACACAGAAAACCCACCCCTCCACCAGATCCTGGGCATAGTAATGAAGACATGCATGATCACATTCTGAAAAACCAAATGGGAAGAAAAAAATCATTTTGAGCGAGGAACCATGACAGAACAACTTAGCAACGTCTTCTGCACTGCTCAGCACTGCCAGCACCCTCGTGGACAGTATCACAGACGGTGTGAGAAAGCAAATCTTCCAAAAGACAGCTGATATCGAGGTTCTAAGAAGAGTCAGAGAGAGAAAGAGATAATCCTGTGCTTCATTTGTGACTTGAGAAAATGCAACCTGGTGTACTCACTATTAGGGTACGTAGTAAAGTAATAAAAAAAAGTCTTTTCATAAACTGCAAAAATAACTTATGATTCACTGAATGCATCTCAGATATTGATCAGGGAGTTTTCTGGTCTTCCAAGCCGATATAAGGCCAAAGCTTAGAAAACTTGAAGTATGAGTCTTCCAAATCCTTCCAGCTATGGTTACTCTTTTTTTTTTTTTTAATTAATCTTTTTTTGGGGGGGAGGGGGTCTGGTTGTGGGGCTTGAACTCTGGGCCTGGGCACTGTCCCTCAGCTCTTCAGCTCAAGGCGAGCGTTCTACCACTTGAGCCACAGCGCCACTTCCGGCTTTTTTCTTTTTGCTTATGTGGTGCTGAGGAATCGAACCCAGGGCCTCATGCATGCAAGGAAGTGCTCTACCACTGAGCCACCTTCCCAGCCCCCTACATTAATCTCTTTTTGTTGTTTATGTGGTACCAAGGAATCGAACCCAGGGCCTCACACATGCAAGGCAAGCACTCTTCCACTAAGCCACAGTCCTAGTCCCACTGTGGTTACTCTTGATCATTAGACACTTCAATTCTAATCTCCCCCAACATTCAGCCAAACCACTGATTTAGATCTTCACTTCTATAGGTCTTGAGACACTCAAGGGAATAAGGACTGGATAACAATTTACTTACATCTTAAATCTAAAAAAAAATAAAATTAGTGCCAGTACTGGGCTTGAACTCATGGCCTGGGCACTTGAGCTTTTTTTCTCAAGATAGGCACTCTACCACTTGAGCCACAGCTCCACTTCCAGCTTCTTGGTGGTTAACTGAAGGAAAGTGTTTCATAAGCTTTCCTCCCCAGGCTGGCTTTGAACCACCCTCCCCAGATCTCAGTCTGTGCATAAGCCACTGGTACCTGTTTCCAAAGCTATTTTTTTCTCTTTGATAATATTTATAATCTCACTCATTCAGCAGATTCTTACATCTTGTTCATGATCCAGGCCCTGGGTTCAAGAACTGCCCTCCCACACAGAGACTTACGGGTCAATTTCCTTGGCCCTTGAACTTTCAAATTTGTGGCTGCTTCTGCATTCTACCACTTGTCCTGTCAGCCTAATCTCAATCAACAGTTAAAAAGAACTTAGCCGGGCTGGGAAGGTGGCTCAGTGGTAGAGCGCTCGCCTTGAGCTGAAGAGCTGAGGGACAGCGCCCAGGCCCAGAGTTCAGGCCCCACGACCAACCAAAAAAAAAAAAAAAGAACTTAGCCCCGGTATTGGAGGCTCCCACTTAAGCTCCTCGCTCCCCAGGAGGTCGGGCTCCTGAGGCTCATGGTTGAAGGTTCACCGTGTGGGGAGGGCAGAAAGGACCAGTGGGACCAGGAGAAACTTCCTGGAGGGGAGAGACGGCGACTTTGCCAGGAGGTGGAAAGAGCCGCGCGTCTGCCAGCACGCGGCCAATCCGCTGGTGTCCGCACGTCCTCTCTCCTCTTGGTGACTAAAGCGGCTCCGCTTACGTAAACGCACGCAGCTGTTACGTAAACGCACGCAGCTGTTAGTAAACGCACGCAGCTGTTTTCCCAGTGATGGTTTTGAACGGCGCCCTTCCCAGCGCAGCTCCTGGAGCTACGGCACAGCGCGCTCTCCGTGGCCTGCCCGGAAGCCTTGACCTGGGCCTTGAGATCTGTCTGGCTGGTGGCAAAGTAACCAGAAAGGTAAAGGAGGAGAAAAGGAAAAGGCGAGTGAGAAAGGGAGGGATTCTCTCTGCAGATGAATCGTGTTCTCTGTGCGCAGGCAGCCGTGGGGGGAAGGACGGAGCCTCCCCCCTCCCCGCTGGGGCCCCGCTGCAGAAGCCACCAGCACCCCGCGTTCACAGGAAATGACGGAGCGCCCTCCGCGTGGCCCTCACCACAGCCATTTCCTCGAGAAGCCTCTCCATGTTGGCAGCCACAGCCTCTGCCTCACACAGGGGAGAAGCTGAGCGCTGCACTGGCCTTGGACCTCTACCCCGAAATGTCATCCTTTTGCTTTTGCCTGGCCAGATTCTTAATGGAAGATGACACCCACAGAAAATAACACCCCCCAAGATAGACAAAGAACACCTCCTGTCTCTCCTTCCTACCCACAGGAAGCCTGGGAGGGGCACTATTCACGGGCTTCAAAGATACGTGTTACCAAGAGGAAGTAAAGGAAGGTGGACTTTCCAGAAAGCCTGAGAAGTCCCAGCTTTGCCTCCTTCCGGTGCCAGGCCCCGGCCCATGCCCATGTGTGTCAAGTTGGTCTTTCCAAGTGCGCACATGTAACATTCACATCCAAACACACGTGTGGGCGTGCACCGTGAAGCCCGGAGAGGCTGGAGAGCCCGCACTCAAGGGAAGTCTGTGTTCCTTGTTATTTGGGGGGACTCTGGACGGTAACCGTGTCTCCCCTCGGTCAAGGCGCATTGTACTTATAAACTGACCTGGTACAACTTCGTACAACTACTTAAAAATAATTTTGAAAATATGACTTTTGAAAAAGCAAAGAGAAACCGTGATTTTCTCAGCTTAAACCTGACCTCTTCTTCTGGAGGACAAAATGATCATTGATATTAATAGGGACTAGTCATAACTGTTCTTATGTTCAACATTGGTCCAACAACTACTATTTATTAAGTACCTTCTCTGGCCAGCTTCTCTGTTTCTGTTTCAGGCATGGAAGTTGAAAGGTTACAATCGCCAAGTATTTTGGCTGAATAATTTTTTTCTACACCAATTCTAATTTTGTAATAGATCTTTAGTACCTATTGTGTACTTTCATCTGTTTCTCTCTTACCAAAATGTGTGGTAAAGACATTTCATGAAAGGAATTTTAATTTCAACTCTAGTTAATTTCTTTACCCTCAAATTATATTCCACCTCCAACCTAGAGATTATAGGTGATCCAAACATTCGGAGTTAGTGCAGTTGGTTCATGCCAATGACAAAACCATCAAGTAATAGTCTAAACAATTCACACCAATGGAGCCTGGAGGTGCATGCCTGTAATCCCAGCATCTGGGAGGCAAAGGCAGAAAGACTTAGGTTTGAAGCCAACTTATTACAGAGCAAGATTCTGTTTTAAATAAATAGCTATATTGCTGTTAAGTAGTGTTTTTGTGTTTTTTTTTTTTTTAATGAATCCTAAAGTAGCCTCCTCCATATAATTTAAACAATTCTGACTAGTTTGGGGGTTTGTTTCATTTGGATTTGCAGGGACGAGGGTTTGAATCAAAGCCTCACGCTTGCTGAGCCTACTTGCTGCCCTTGCATGTCAGCCAAAATTCCAGCCCAGCTTTTTGTAGGTTGGAGATGGAATCTCTCAGAACTTTCTGCCCAGTCAAACTTCAAAGTTTGATCCTCCAGATCTCAGTCTCTTTATTAGCTAGGATTATAACTGAGAGCCACTGGTACACAGCAATTTCTACATTTTAAATGTATTTATCCTGTAAACTGACAAGTCATCTTTTGTCCAATTTATTATGAATTTACTTCCTACCTTTTCCAAGTTTCCAGTTTAAGGAAAGTTACGATAGCTGTCATCTCAGCCGGCCCCGTGGCCCACGCCTGTCATCCTAGCGACTCAGGAGGCTGAGATCTGAGGAGGGTGGTTTGAAACTGGCCAGGGCAGGAAAGTTCATGAGACTCGAATCTCCAATTAAGCACTAGAAAACTGGAAGTGGCGCTGGGGCTCAAAGTGGCAGAGTGCTCACCTTGAGAGAAGAAGTTCAGGGACAGCGCTCAGGCCCTACGTCCAAGCCCCATGACCAACAACAAAAATAAAAACTTTTCACATGTACCTGCCCCATCCCGGCTGACCTCGATCCTTCATCCTACCTCCTCGTGCTTCAAGAGACCCGAGTCGGCTGAGGGGAGGAGAAGTTGCTTCCTCTTCACAGTGTAGCTGGCCGGCTTCTCACTCCTTCCTGTCGGGCGCCGGCAGAAGCAGTGCCTGTGGCCACTGAGTGCCACTGAGTGCTCCTCCCACGTCACCAAGGATCGGGCAGAAGAACCACCCCCAAACCACACCGGGAGCCCGGCCGAGAGCCGGGAGAAACCAAGTTCATCAGATCACAGCCAGTGTTCAGGGGGGACAGCATCTCCCGGCTGCGCGGTACCTGTGTGGTCCGCGCCCTTCAAGTGGATCTGATGGAGTACTTCCTACCCTGCCCGACCCCCCCCCCCCCCCCCCCCAGCACAGCCATCCTCAAGGGGCGGACACCTCTAAAGAACATCTGCTGACTCAGAAGCCATTCATCACCAGCCTGCCATGGGGTTTTCTGAGTTCATTTTGTTGGTTTTTGTGTGTGTATGACGGATAGCGTGCGCACAGAATACAAATCCTAAGCCCAGGGCAGTGGCGTGACTCCCAAGCCTGCGTTAAGTGCGGCCGCCTCTGTCTTAGCAGCTTTCAGAGATGAGATCTTTCAGAGGTGATTACACTGCGAGGTGTATGCCATGACGGTGGCTTCCTTAGGCAACGATGAGTTTGTCCCCTCCCCCTCCCCTCCCCCTCCCCCTCCCCCTCCCCTCCCCCTCCCCTCCCCTCCCCCTCCCCCTCCCCTTTCCCTTCTCCTCTGCCCTCCCGAGCTTCCCCTTCCCTTGATGCCTTCCTCTAGATTAGAACACAGCAGACGCCTGCACTGGACGCTCCAAGGTCAAGGCACTTCCTGGACCTTGGGCTTCCAGTTTCCAGGACAGCGAGGAACAGCTGTCTGTTCTCTTTGACATTCCCAGTCGGTGTCTCCTGTTAGAGACACACATGGACAATGACATCCGACTTGGTGAATGCTGTAAGGTGCCCACACCACAGCCCATCCAGAAACAGGACATGAACGGCATCCCCCAAGCCCCTCCCTTCTCCCAGCCCACCTTCCTCCCTGCAGGTGCCTGTTCCCGCGACAGCGGCCATTCTATTTCCTGCGTTTACACTTCATCCAAATGAAATCACCGGTACAACCTCTTCCAGGCCGGCGTTTGCTCAGCATTGCCTGCGGACACACCGCTGCGTGGAGTTGTCGTTCATTCTCATTTCTGTGTTGCATTGCTATATATTATTTCTCATCTATAAATTATTTCTCTATCATGCTGTTAATAGCAGTTTCTGTGGTTGCTCTGGAGTTGCTCAGGATGAGTATCTGTCCATTGGTTGTGTGTGCGGTGAGACTCTGGCTCCCAGGCTGTGACCACGTGACTCTTCTCACACTCCTGCCAGACACAAGCGCCCGCTGCTCCCCATCCTGCCCACGCTCGCTCCCGTCTGCCTTTCTCATCCATCCCAGTGGGTGCAGAATGGCCCCGCATTAGGGTTTGATACATGGTCCCCTGATGTTTACTGAGGCGGAGCGTTCTGAACATTTTATAGTGAAACACCCACCCTGTCCCCGGGCCCAACTTTACAGCAGAGGCCCCTGGAATTTTACAATGAATGCCATCAGGAGCTTATGAAAAGAGAAAATACACCGTGAAAGCAAATCATTGAACTGTGATGTCCTGCTTTACAACCCACCTGGATCACAAATCCCCTAACTTTCACTTCTGTTTAAATTAAGAGATAGTCAGCACCAGAGCTGTCTCCTCATCTTGGTGGGGCCCTAACCTCCCCCCCCACTAAGCATAAGTAAATTTTCCGGTGTCTGCCTTTAAAAACCTCGATTAACTTGCCCTCAGGGACAAGAGATCAACAGTAGGTGTGTGTGTGTGTGTGTGTGTGTGTGTGTGTGTGTGTGTGTGTGTGTGTGTGTGTGTGTGTGTGTGTGTGTATGTGTTTCAGTTGGCTCATCTGCCTTTTTCCTATTGATTTGTAGAAGTTCTTTGCATATTCAGGATTTGAGTCCTTCTCAGGTACATATATTACAGATTCCTTTGTTCTGTGGGCAGGCTTTCTCATTCCCTAATGGGCTCTTTGGGGGTTTCAGACTCACTCCTGAGGGTGAACTAATGTGTATTCAAATTGAAAAAAGCATGTTATTTTTGCCCAGTCATCTGATGGCTGGAATTAAGGTACTCTGCGTGGCTCTCACTACACCTCTCAGAACCCTTCCAGCCTTGGCTTCTTCATCTGTCCACCGGGTCACATGGTAATCGATTAAGCTCATTTCTGAAATTTCATTCTTCCATGTCCTGGGCATAATGTCCAGAAATGGTGAATTACACCCGTGGGGGAGGGGGTAGGAGATTGGGGGAGGGACCTGGAGTGGGAAAGCTCAGAGGATAGGCTGTGGGAAGAGACAGGGCTGAGTGGCCTTACCCAAATCCCTCAGGGTCTCTGAGACCTTTCCTAGTGAGGGCCCGAGGTTTCCTCCTCGTGTTACCGTTTGATCAATTCATCCACAAATGTTTATTGTGTATCTGTTATGTATCACACACAGTGCCCATGGTTGAGGATTTCTCGAAAGAAATGCTCAGGAAAGAGGAACTGGTATTTACTTGGTAGCAACGTTCTAGGTGTAAAGCATGAGATGCTAAGCCAATTGGAATACTTGGAAGGAAATGTTTCCGGAATGAGAATCATGATCTCCAAGGCAGGTGTGTCCCTGTGCTCCAGCTGCTGCGAAAATGCCACAGAAACACCCTCTTCATGCGGTTCTGGAGACTGGAAGCCCATGGTCTGGCTGGATGTGGGCTGGGTTGGATAGGTCTTTCTCCTCCATTTGTAGACAGCCATCTTCTTTCTGTGTCTTCACATGGTAGTTTCTTTGTGCCCCTCTGTGTCCTGAACTTCCTTTCTTTCTTTTTTATTAGTTTGAATTCGAGGCTTGATGCTTGCTAGACAGGCTCTACCACTCAAACCATGCCTCTTGCCCTTTTTTGCTTATTTTGGAAATTGGATCTTGCTTTATACTCAGGGATGGCCTAGACCCAAATCCTCTATGTTTCTTGCAGAGTGGGGGTGATAGATGTACATCACTAAACTCAGCCTTTTCTGTTGGGATGAAGGTATTGAGAATTTTTTCCCTATGCTGGCCTGATCTCTTCATCTCTGGCTCCTGAGCAGATGGGATTACAGGCATGAGCTATCTGCACCCAGCTCTAAACTCCTCCTCTTATAAGGACACAAATGTACTGACTTCAGGCCCACACATGTGACTTCATTTTACCTTGATTAGCAAAGGTCTTTCCTCCAAATAAAGTCACATTCTGTAGTATAAATTCAGGGGCTAACATAATTCAGATAACAACTGAAGACAGAGTAAGAAAATATTAGAACTTCTACAGTTCAGAGTCTGGGCTGAGGCCGAGGGCTACTGTGGACAGCAAGCTGAGAGGCTGGCAAAGACTGGCGTCACTGGGGACAGAACTTGAGCAGGTGTCAAGCAGATCAAACTGAAAGCCAGGGGACAATTGGGGCTGCTGGAGATTAGGCTAGTCAGCAGCGGAGCAGCGGCACGTGGGGCTGGTCACTGTCACGGACATCTCGATGGAGTCCTAGGGGACCCTTCAGAACGCCACGGGGGCGGGGGAGGGGGCGGAGCAGGTGGAGTTTCCTGCACCTGTCAGGTGTCCCGGCTGTGGCGGCTCAGGTGTGGCCAGACACGGGTTGATGAGCCCCAGGCAGAAGTGACTTGTGCTGGAGGTAGCATGTTCTCAGGGAATGCTCAGGCAACCACTCCTCCATGGACCCTTCCACTGTCCACCGAGGACCCCAGAGAGCCCGTCCATCAGCGTGGACCCCTGTGCAGAAGACACAGGACAGAGCCATAGCGGGTCTTGCAGGGAGACCCATCAATCTCAGCTATTGCCACCCACTGTGAGTCTGGGGTCATTTGCTTCTGCAGCTGACCTAGTCCATTCTGACTGATGTGTAGGTGTTTCTCTCACATGCACAGAACTCATCATGAAAAGATTTAAAAACCACTGCAGCATGGATATTAGTGCTCTAGTGGCTATTAAGTCATTTCATTGTTGGAACCTATAAAGGGATCACAAAGGACAGAGCAGCCGCTCTCTCCAGATGTTTCAGAGGCATGAGCTATTTCTGTACAGCTGTGGAAGACCCCACAGAAGCATTTCTTAGCTCCTCTCCTTAGCGTGTAATTTCTCCGCACAGGATTCTCACTGTAGATGTGTCAGCCAGAAATACGTTTCCTCTCCCTTTACACTTGACAAACCTCACACTACTCTTCCTAGATCTCTACATCAATAACACAGCAGCCATTTGGGAAGGTTGTAAAAGAAGGCAAAGACATTAAAAAATGGTTCTCATGCCCCACACTCTTCTATTCCAGATGTTCACTTAGCATCTGTTTACTCTTGCTTTGCACTTAATTCTAAGACCCTCAGGTAGTGAAGTCAACCCACAAAGTAGCAGAAGGACACGAGGAGGAAGTTTAAAAGTCAGGGTTCAAGATGACGGTGAGGCTGAAGTCCTGGCATCAGACAGGCAGAAGAGGCCTAAAGGGATCTCAGACAGATCTGGGAATGGCAGAACAAAAGAATGTCGGAATTTGAATCGTGTAGACTGAGGCCCAAGCCTGAAACGCTGAAACAGGTTAACCGAAGCCAGATAACACAAAGAAAATCAACAGGTAAAATAGAGTTCAGAATCTGACCCCACTGATGTCCTTGCTCAGGCGCTGTGCAGGGCAGAGCAGCCTTGGGTGCGCGCGCGTGCGCACGTAATCCACTCCATGGTTTTCTCCATCTAGGTGGAGGCCACACTGGAGAAATCATCCCTTCAAACAATACACGTTAACTGTGCACCTACTGTGCGCGGCCCCATGTCAGGGACAGGCACCCAACAGAGAATAAAAAGTTCCTTCCTGCACAGAACGCCGAGTATGGACGAAGACACTCCATCAACGGGCGCCACAAAGAAAGCCACCAGTGCGGAAAGGCTGGCGGACAGGCAGGCCTCTAGTAGAGATGCTGAGCCAGGGCCTTGCAAGCCCGGGAGCGAGTCGTGGAGCCCAGCGCTGGGAGCGCGGCCGGGGCCAGGGCAGAGGACAGCCCGGGAGGGCTCCAGTGGCCCGGGGGGAGCGCCCCGCGGTGGAGCCGCAGGCCG